TCATCATCCTGTTACGATTAGATTAGTTCAGTATGTATTCAATGTGTGTGAAGATGGGGACAACTACTTGGAAGAAAACTAGAGACAATAAGATAGACAGTGAAGATCTCCAGTGGACTTGCTTTGAAATCGATGTTTCTTAAAATTGTTTCTTTATGATCCGTTTTGTTATGCTTTTGTTTTTGTTTTGTCTCACTATACAGTTCAGACTGGCCTTGAGCTCACTTTGTAGCCCAGGCTAGTTTTGAACTCACAATGATCCTCCCACCTCAGCCTCCCAAGTGCTGGGATTACAGGTTTGAGCCACCATGCCCAGCTCTGTTTTGTTATGGTTAATCTTACCCTCTTTAAAATTAAAAAAGACTCATGCATGTGTAGAACCTATAAACAGTTTACAAGAACTGATCTTATAACGGGTGATGAACAAATACTTTGAAGAAAAAGAGACACTACAGTATCCAGTGCTGATATTGTAGTGTCATGATGTGAAATCCACCAATACTATTATTCTTTGTTTAGAGTGATTTTAGCCTGCTATGGTTTGTTTAATCTCAACATAAATGAAGTTATGGATAACTGCATATATGTTGAAGTGTATAGGATTGATAACCATATTGCTAACTTTTTGTTGGATAGTTGAACAGAACCAATTGCAGTCTTGCTGTTTGAATCCCCACTTTGTATGTTTCACTTTTGTATCTTGAACAACTATTTGTAAGAGGACAATATGTAATCATCAACTAATGATTTCTTACTGTTTATTTTTTCTTTGAAAGTATGTACTATTTCTACCCATTTTCTGTTTTGTTTAGTCTTTCTTTAAATAACATTAAAAAAAAAAAAAAAGAATTCTGCTACAAAGTGAGCTCAAGGCTGGCCTGAATTGCATAGCAAGACCCTGTCTCAAAAAGACCAAAAAAAAAAAAAAAGAATTCCAGCACCCCCACACACACACATACACACTTGAGATAGTAGTTGTCAACTGTGCTTCTGACCAGTTATAAATCAGTTCCCACAACACACACCTCGAATGTTATTAATGTACTAGGATGGCTGTAGAACCCAGGGAAACACCAGTGTTTACTGGTTTATTATAATAGGTATTACAAAGGACACAAGTGACCAACCAGATGAAAAGATGCATAGGGCAGGGTGTCAAGAAGGGTCACAGAGCTGCTGCCTACTGCACATGCTCAAGAAGTGCACTTCTCTAGACACCTACACAGGTTCAACCATCTAAATGCCCTGCATATCCAGTCCTTTTGATTTTGATGGAGGCCTGGTAAGTAACTGGGTACTAGACCTTGATCCCTGTCCTCTCTCTCTGGAGGGAAAGAGGGGTGATGGGCTGGAAGCTCCAACCCTGAGTTGCATCCAGCTTCCATCCTGAGGTTCTCCAGGAACCCATGGGAAGTCATCTGATTAGAACCAAGAAATTCCAAGTGATTTAGGAAGTCTGTGTCAGAAACTGAAGGACAAGACCAAATTTAGAAAAGACCCTAAAATAGAAGAATTCTAGGAGTTGCATGTCAAGAATCGGAGATGGAGATCAAACATGTACATCCTACTTCTTCCTAAAAGTTAATAACCCTTTCAGGCAGCATCAGACCCCTCCCATGTTCCTGTTGCTCTTTCCTCAGATAGGAGCAGGTTCCTAAGTGAGTAATATGTATGATCTTCAGAAAGAACTGCCAAGAGGTGTGTTGTTGGTTACAGAGTAGCTAGTGAGGAAAAGTTCAGTTTGCTGGTGTCAAAAGCCATTTGTGTTCCAATACATGACTGTTGAGTAGGGAAGCTTTGTTACTACATGAGTTCAATTGTCCCTATCCCTGACACTGGTGGGAATCCGACCTTGGGTGTCACTAGCATTAACCATGACAGGACAGGAAGTCACTTGCACACTGGTTGACCCCCAAAAGGGGCCAAGAAATGTCAGTGAACGTAGAGAATAATACTGCACAGGAAGAAGCTGCTGCTATGGAGCACCTACTAGAATTGTTATATAAAAATAGTTTTAAAACAGACTAATAGGAGAGTAACAATAATTAATATATTACATATTGTTATCTTCATAGTAGTTACTCAGAGTATAAGTTATGGGCATGAAATAATGCCCAAACAATGTTGATTCAAACCTTTGTTTTCAATGAACTAAGAGAAACTGGCTGTATAACTAACTGTCTTAGCTGTCTCATGTATATATTTTTTTTCCTTTTCCCTTTCTTTCTTTCTTCTTTCTCCCATCACAGTTTCTCTCTGCTTTTGAACAATTTCTTCCCAATTCACAATATCTCTTGTACATTTTGGATCTTATTTACTCACTTAGTTTCTCACACTAGTGAGACAATACGGTGTTTACATATGTGAGTCTGATTTATTTCACTTGGGAGGATGCTCTCGAGTTGCATCCATTCACCTATATGGTTGAGTAGTACTCCATTATATGAAGACAGCCATGGGAACGTGCTAGCAGTGAGATTGCTGATTTGTAAACCCAAGAAAATGTGATTTGTGCTCTCTTTGAAGATCAGCCTGAGAAAGTTGAACTATTTGATAAATGAGTAGGAGCACAAGCTTAAGGTCTTGAATAAGTTAAAATGAAATTCTTGTTTTCTAGAATACTTGTTCTGGTGGCTAAATTAATCGCAGTTGGGAAGCCATTTGGTGGTAAAGGAGGCAGACATAAAGAGAGAGCAAGTATATCAAGCGTTTAGGTAGATATCTGCAGAAATGTTTGATGTGTTTACTCTGAATTTACAAAAGGAGGAGCACATACAGTGAAGACATTGTGACTGTCGCCAACTAGGAGATGTGTAGGGTTTGCTTTTTGCTCTTTGTGTGTCATCGTGATTAGATGGATGCAGAGGGAAGGGGCAGAGAGGAATACAGCCTTACAATACATTTGATAGACAACGCAGCTGAATGTCTCTATTAATGCTTAGCATACCTTGAGTGGCAGCCATCTATCCAATTCCTGATCTGACTTTCAGTGTGCTGAGATACTTTACAGTAGTGTTGAGAAGAGGCAGAGTACAGTTGGGAGTGAACTGCACAATATTAATGTGTGATCTAGATGAGTCCAGCAGGCCCTGCAGCTTTCCTCACTGTGATACCCAAACTATCCCCCTGTTCTGGGGAAAGTGCAGTCCACTGCTGTATCCATTTCCACCAGGGTCAGAGTCCCTCTCGGCAGTGATGGGAACACATCCTCTGGACTACAGTCACTAGAAGTTCTCTTTTCCCTGTTGTTTAGCTTTTTGAATACATTTTGTCTCAGCTTCTCAGCTATTTCCTTAATTCTGGGAGATTCCTGCCCTTTGGTTTTGGTTCTTTTCTTTTTCCAGGAGGATCCAGGCTAATTTAATCTAGAAACAGTTTCTTCCCCCTCCTTCTAGTCCACTTCATGATTGAAGTAAATCAAGCATTTCCGGGGCTGAGGATTTAGTTCAGCGGCATAAGCGCCTGCCTTGCAAGCCGGAAGTCATGAGTTCGATCCCCGATACCGATAAAAAGGAAAAAGACCAAAAAAAAAAAAAAAAAAAAAAGGCATTTCCTGCCTTGTAGCATAAAGAATGAGGCCCAGACGGGCGTCTGGCTCAGCAGTCTGTGCGCCTGCACAAACGGGAGGTCACTGGTTCAATTCCTCTGTGCTCCCACCAGCCAGCCTCACAAAGGCTCAGTGGCGTGGCCTATCACCGCCCCCACCCTGCACCCATCATTTGTGACGAATGAGGTTTTGGGCTGGGGACTTAGCTCAGCGGCTTAAGTGCCTGCCTTACAAGCACGCGGTTGCGACTTTGATCTCTGATACCGATTAAAAAAAAAAAAAAAAGAAAGTGAAGTATAAAGAATGAGGCCTTCTTGGGCTGGCAGTGGCCGTTGTCATTGCTCTCTTCCTGACCAGCCCCAGGTGAATCGTCACTCCACGGCTTCTGGGATTGATGTGGCTGCCTCCTTGAATCTTTACAGTGGCCTCTCTGGGACCAAGGATTGTCTGCTGATTCCATTTCTTTTTTTTTTTTTTTTTTTTTTTTTTTTTGTCTTTTTCTTTTTTATCGGTACCGGAGATCAAACTCACGACTGCCTGCTTGCAAGGCAGGAGTTTATGCCACTGAGCTAAATCCCCAGCTCCGCTGATTCCATTTTCAGTTCTCACATTCAAACATGAGAGTGGAATAGATCTCAAAGAAACGTCTTTGAACTCCACCTCCTGGTCCTGTGCCTGGCCCAGGGTCTCAGAGCACAGGACTGGGGGCTTCGGTTGGTTCAAGTTCTCTGTAACTTAGGAAAATCTAAGCATCAGAGCCTTTTCTGCCCTTTTCTCAGGCACCAGTACAAACTTGTACCTCTGAACCAAGTGTGTGATCATAGCGTCCGTGTGGCCCCAGCCCTGTCCTTCCTTGGAGACCTGTCAGTGCCCAGAACGAGTACTAGCCTTCCTCTGCAAGGATGTTTTATTTTAGCTCCAGCAGCAGAAGAACTATTTTGCTTTTCTAAACACTTCTCCAGTATTTGAACACTACCGGTAGAGTAGCTACAGCAGGCACTTGGGTAGAGTGGGAGTCTCTATGGAGAAGAGCTTCTTATGGAAAGGTGCTGGCTGTTCGACTGAAAGAGGAGATGAAAAGAGGATGGATGGGCTGAAAGCTCTGAGTCTGGATTTCTAGAGCATACGGAACGCCATACTAATGACAATTGTTTTTAGAGTAAAGAGATCAGCTTTGTGTGTTCTGTGATATTTCGGGTCCCAGAGACACTCCTGAGACAGAAACAGAAGGCTTCCGTGACCTTTGCTGGCACTTGGCTCTTTTGCCTTCAGGTTCTGAGAATGAGGCAGGCTAGATGCTGTACATCTCTGCTTCTTCCTTAGAGACTATTAGAACACAATGTTTTTAAAAAGTGCTATGTAAATGCAGGGCACACAGTAAGAATATGAAATAATCTGTAGGACATTTACCGTTGTTGGGAATCAGTAAGTCATGTGTGTGTTTTTTCCTTAGGTTCATTTTCCAGACACTGAAAGAGCAGAATGGCTAAATAAGGTAAGATTAGAATATTCCAAATACCAGAGACCAGTGGGAATTAAAGGATGAGATAGCATCTTTCCATATTTGGGAGTTTGAAAGCTGGCAGTGTTGCAGTCCAGTAAGGCTGGCTTCTGCTCTCCAGAGAGTGCAGTCATAAGCGTAGCTTTCTGAAGAGAGCTGGGTGGCTGACATTGCTGTGTGGCCTTATATCTCGCTTCCTGAGCGAAGTGCACTCAGATCTATTTTATAGCAGTCACAAGTGGAAATTCTGAAAACATTATGAAGAGGGAGATAACTCCCAAAAGCCTAGCAATATCTATAGTATTTTTAAAATACTTTTTGGACCAGTACAGCTCTTTACCTGGGCTCTTTACCTTTTATTTTGTGCATCACTGTACTGTGTGCATTTACTGTAGTGAATACTCACCTAGAGATCACCCTACAAACCTGGGAAGATAGCAGTCTGGCTTTGAAAAAATTCATGGGGGTAAGGATGTAACTTAGTGGAAGAGTACATGTTTATTGTGTACAAAGCCCCTGCGGGGTTCTGTTTGTACCACGGGGGTAGAGGGAATAACGGATAATTACTGAGTTTTATAAAGTTTTAAGGTTTCCAGCAATGAGCTGAAACCACAGAATATTTAGTGATTGTTAAACAGAATATTTACGTAAAATAACTGATTCTTGTAGTATATTGGTTAATCAATAACAAGTTGTAATATCCTTTTAAAGCTTACATTGAACTTTGAAGTGCTGATTTCCTGTAAGACCATTTCTGCATACATTTTCAAAACCAAATTCTGGTGAACTACGTGATTCTGATTTTCACAATGACTCAAGTATATTATGCATTATAACTGCTTACTATGAATTCTTTTTTTTTCTAGACTGTAAAGCACATGTGGCCTTTTATTTGCCAATTCATAGAGAAGCTGTTTCGAGAAACCATAGAGCCAGCTGTGCGGGGAGCAAACACACATCTAAGCACCTTCAGCTTCACAAAAGTGGATATGGGCCAGCAGGTCAGCTCCTCCTTTTGTCCCCTTCCTTGTGTCCAGGACTTCTTGTACAGTAGGATGCTGTCAGAATATAAAAACACCTTAAGCCACACGTTCTGGAGGAAGCCACACGTTCTGGAGGAAGCCACTGCTGTGAGGGCCGCCTGATGTGTCTGTGGTGTGTGCAGCTCAGGATCTGCCCTGGGATGAAGCTTTTTTATGCTTCAAGGTCCTAGGTTGCCTCCTTTCGTTGAGCCATTTTGGCCAGCTCTGTCTTCATGGCCTGCCTTCTTTTTAACATTTCCTGGATCTCCTGTAGTGTGTCCTGCTACCCTGTATTCTACTGGAGTGACCTTTTCCAGTCTGTCCTGCTAGAGTATGAGATGTGACATCACTTAAGTCCAGTAGTTGACAGGGGGCTTGATATGTTTACCTCTCCAGATGATAAAAACAACCAAGGACCCTGATGCTGGGTTGTGGGATCATGTTGATGAAAGATAGATTTTTGTTAATGGAATCACATTGTATATAAAAAGGAAACTATGGGTTGCTATATCATTTATAATGAAAGCCTCAGGGTTTTATGACTTGGGGGTAGTAAGTTCCCATTTTTTTATTTTTAACTCAGTTTTTACAAAAGTTGGTGACAGTTCAGGGTAGCACTGTGTTACATGACTAATAAAAACTCAGAATCTGTACCCATTTCATACAGCCCTGGGCACAGACAGCACTTAGGCATCCTGTGCAATGTAGTTTGGGTGTGGTAGTATGCCCGAGGGAGTATCAAGTAATGGTGGTAATGTGGGCTGCTGGCCGTGTCAGTGCCCATCCTGTGCTCTCCAGACTGTGGGCCACCTTCCTCTGTCTATGCTGATTCTCCCCAAGGAGAGAACACGCTGTCTCTTCTGTAGTTGTTCCAGGTACAGGCTCCTGTGCACCATGGGACGTGCTGGCAGCTCCCTTAGCTGGGAGGCCTCTAAATAAGCGGCGAGCAGAGGCTATGCTGCTTCTCTGTGTTCATGCCTCCATGTAATGTCAGAAAGAGATGTGTGTGTTATTTATATCTTACAGGTAAAGAAACTGAGAAAAAGGGTTAGGCTTAGCATTGAGTTAAACAGCTAGTGTGTTGTAAAAGCAGAATTTTAATTCCTGTAGTCTGTGCTTATCACCTCTATGCTATATGTTATAAGGTACGGTGGTTGGTTACTTGACTGGCTGGTTGATTAGTTTCTTAACATCTCTGTATTTTAAAATAAGCTACTTCTTATTTCAGCCCCTTAGGGTCAACGGTGTTAAGGTATATACCGAAAATGTAGACAAAAGACAAATTATTCTGGACCTTCAGGTTAGGTAAGTTTTTTTATTTGTGTTATATTTGTGTCATGGTTAGTGATATGTAGTGCCACTTAGCTGTACCCATAAGGTAAAGGATGTAATAAGCATACTTACCTACTGGCTGTTATAATTTGACTAAATTCTTCCTGGAGACCCAGATATTATACATCTTCAAGCTCTCAGTTCTTAACTGCCATTGAGAAAATATGTTCCGAAAAAGAAATTGAAAGCTAGAAAGCTACAGGCCAGTCATTAGCTGACTACTGATGCAAGAATCTTCAGTAAAATACAGTGAACCTAATTCAGCAGCATGTTGAAATAACTGTACACCACTACCAAGTAGGGTTTATCCCCAGAGTGCAAGCATGATTTAGCATGTGAAAGTCAGTCAGTGTCATATACACGTTAACAGAAGGAAAGGGGAAGAAAAGCCTACATGATTATCTCAGTTGATACAGAAAAGGCATTTGACAAAGCTCAATCCTCTTTCATAATAAAAGCACTAAAAAATCTGAGAAGGAAGCTCATTTCAAAATAATAAAAACTACATATGAAAAAATCCTATGACAACAGAGGAGAATTGAAATTCTTTCCTCTAAAAAAATAAAAATTAAAATTAAAAAAAAAAAAGAAATTCTTTCCTCTAAGATCAGGAACAAGGCAGGGATGTCTTTCACCATATATCTTCAATACAGGCAAAACAATTAGACAAGAACAGGAAATAAAATGTATCCAAATTGGAAAGGAAGAAGTAAAATTGTCTCTGTTCATAAATGACATGATTTTTTTTGTAAAGAAGAAGTTAAGAAAAAATTCTTTTACAATAGAATCAAAAAGAATAAAATATTTAGAAATAAACAACTCAGCAGATGAAAGATTTGTGCAATAAAAACTTTTAAAAATTGCTCAAAGAAGTTAAAGAACAGGACATATAAATGGAATGATACTCTATATTTATGAATTGAAAACTTAATACTGTTGAAATAGAAATACTACCTAAAGCAGTCTGCAGACTTAATACAAGCTATAATCATAAATCTGATAAGGGATGAATATTCAGAACATGTAGAAAACTTTGGAAACTCAGTAGTAACAAAACCCTCTTCAAAATTGAGCAAAGGCCTTGAATAAGACATTTTTCTAAGGAAGTTACACAAATGACCCATAAGCACATGAACAGACATTCAGCACCCTACTTATTGGGAAAATGAAAATAAAGCTACAGATAGATACCGTCTCACGTGCGTGAGGATAGCTACTATTTAAAAGATTAACAGGTGCTGGGGAGGATGGGAAGAAACTGGAACTGAGCACTGCCAACAGGAAGGAAAAGTGGTGTAGCTATTGTGGAAAGTTTGGCACTTTTTGAAAACCTTAGAAATGTAATTACCATGTTGTTTTAGTCCATCTGCTGTCTCTGCAGCAGGGGATCTAAGACTGAGTGGCTCACATAGAACAGAGCTTTATTTTGGCACTGCCTGACGATGGGTGGTTTTGAATTAGGCCCCGTGCTGCCTCATGGGGGAAGTGGAACAGCAAGTGCAGTAGGCTTGCTTCCTGACCCTGTGCTCTCAGAGCCTCCAGGAGCGAGTGCCCACATGCGTGAGGAGGTTCCCGTGACCCAGACACCTCCTGCTGGGTTCCTCCTTCCAGTGCAGCACTGCACTGGGAGATGAATGTCTTAACAAAAGAGTGCTCACAGGACACACTCAGACATATCACATGGATGCCTGGAAGAATTAAAGCAAGGGCTTGAGCAAATATTTGCACACCCATATTAACACCACTACAGTCACATTCTGTAGCGTTTCTGTCAGTGATGGGCTGCATACCTGCAGCGGTCACAGCCTCACCGATAGATGAATGCCCTTCTCATCCACATGGCTTGTTGCTGCTGAGCACCTGTGAGTGCAGTTAGAAAACAAACCCGTCCCTCGTGTTCATGCTTCTCTGCACACACCTGCACCTGCCACCATGCATCAAATAAGCAAAACACTGAAAAGCAACTACCACATGATTTCACTTACGTGATGTCCCTGACGTAATCAAACCCATAGAGACAGAGGAGAATGGTGAGTTCTAGGGAGGAAGGATGAGGAGTTAGTGTTTAGTAGGTACAGAGCTTCCGTTAGCAAGATGAAAAAATTCCAGAGGTAAATGGTGACAACATTGCAGAACATTACGGTGATTTAATGCTACTGCTTTGTGTTCTTAAAAATAGTTAAATTGTAAATCTTGTGTTACATATTTGAATGTAACTTTTTAAGTTGAGGGAAAAGGAGATGAGGGTATGCCTAGCATAGTAGTTCATTTTTTGTCCTCATTGCTGTTTGAACTCATTCATGCCTTCCTGTATGCCATATGAGGCCTGTTAGTTTTCGTCACTGTAAATAATACCTGAGATAAACGCCCCTGAAGGAGAAAAGGTTCATTTGGTCCCAGTTTCAGAAGTTCAGTCTATAGTTGCTTGCCCCTTGCCTTGAACCTGTGGTGAGGCAGTGCATCTGCCAGCAGCGTGTGCAGGAGAAAACTGCTCACTTCGGGGCAGGCAGGAAGCAGGGAGAAGAAAGGGCCAGGTTCCCCGCGCCCTCTTCAAGGCACAACCTCAGTGACCGAACTTCTGCCACTAAGCCTTCATCTTAAGTGTTCCACTACCTCTCCATAGTACCAGGAATCAACCCACTGTTCTCAGTAGAGAGAGGAGAGAGGAAGCCCACTCATGTCTTGGTCAAGCCATGTCCCCAAAGCCTGTCCTCAAAGCTGATAAATGCATTAGGATTGAAATTGTTTTATCTTTGGTGCCCCTGGCACCAAATGAGTATTCCATACACGTTGTCTAAGTAAATATTTGAATAATACAGTTAACTGATGTCAGGTGGAAGATGCTGTCATAACAACTTTTGCATTCGGGGTGTATGTTTGTGTGTGTGTGTGTGTGTGTGTGTGTGTGTGTGTGTGTGTGTGTTCCAGAGAAGGATCTTTACTACATTGGCTGTGGGGATGGGAAAGGAGAAATTTTAAAGATTTAGAAATAAAGTGACCAAGTCTTAGTTGAAAAAACGGAAAGTTTTACAACAGGTTATTGGCAAGTTTATCATTAGGCATAGAATAATTCTCAGTGAAAAGAATCTGTAGGTTTGGCTTTGACACTAGGTCAATAAATACTAGAAGAATTTCATCCCAGATCCCTTTTGTTACTGTTTTTGCTCATCTGCCTGGACACTCCCTGACCAGTGTTTATCAAACTCCACAAACGTGCCAGGCAGAAATCTGATGCCCTGCTTTCAGGAACCGAGGGTAAGGGTCAAACATACACCATACCATGCAAACCTGTGTGACATCTTATGCTTACTTTAAAAGTAGACACAGACTCTGGATTCAGTGTTATAATAAAATGACTTAATTCTCATGTAAAGCTGAGACCCTGAAGGGACATGTTTTCTCTGACCTTTGATGTCACAGAGTCTTGTAGTGGCTCAGGAAGAATTTTACAATCAAAAAGAAAGAATATGAAATTTACTGGTACTGAAAACCTCTTTATGTTTTAAATAACATGGGATTTGTAACTATCTGCCATCAAAACTTAGAAGTTGTGCATCATTACTTGCATTTCCCTTTGAAAATGTACATTTACATTCAGTCAATAAGATTTTTTTTTTTTTCAGTACTGGGGATCAAACTCACAACCATGCACTTGCAAGGCAGGCGTTTATCCCACTGAGCCAAATCCCCTGCCCCTGAGATTTTTGTATGTATACGTACACATATATGTATTTCCGTACATGCGGGTACACACACACAGTAGTTTTCACAGATTTTGTGAGGATTGTCTGAACCTGCAAGTTGGAGCAGCAAAATAGTATAATGCGGTCACGTGTTTTCGGTTTTTGCTTACAGTCTGATTTTGGTTGCTTAACTATTGTTTTACTCAGATTATATGCTTTGCAGTTCTGTAGCAACTAAAAGAACAATTAATTTAACTCACTTTATGTAACGGAAAATTTTTTCTTTGCCAGTTTTGTAGGAAATTGTGAGATCGATTTAGAGATCAAACGTTATTTTTGTAGAGCTGGCGTGAAAAGTATACAGGTAAGCTTTTTAAATTTTCATTTCTAAAGCTTGCTATAGTCAAAAAGAAAATTACAAAATGTTTACTAAGGCAGAATGTTTTAAAAGTACATTTTTATTTGTGTCATAGTTGGGAGAAAGAGAAGTCAGATGTTTGAAAGTCACTAAGCAGCCCTTCCGTGCTATGTTCTTTTATATGTTTGGCTTCCTGTGAGTTTAGATCCATGGGACAATGCGGGTGATCCTGGAGCCCTTGATTGGAGACATGCCTTTAGTTGGAGCTTTGTCCATCTTCTTCCTTAGGAAACCAGTAAGTCAACATTTATGTAACTTTCACCTGCTTTTTAGTGACAATTTGGATGGTGTAAAGTGGCAAAACAAAATTCTGTCCATCACTTTTTTCTCCTTCTGATAGGTGAATCCTCGGAGTGTTTTGTACTTCTGTATTCATTAACTGAAAGATTCATCTTTTTCTTTTTTTTTGAGACATGGTATTGCTGTGTAGCCCAGGCTGACCTCGATTTTGCAGGAATCCTCCTAGCTCAGCCTACTGAGTGCTGGGATGATAGGTGTGTGACTCCCCACCTGGTTTCATCTCTTAATAAACAGTGTTCTTTCATGATTATAAAAATAGTTTGTTGTAGAAAATTAGAAAATAATTATTTTTTAAAAAAGAATAAGGTGCAGCTAAATTTCATTTAGCACCAGTCACTGTATAGTCGAGATTTGCTTATTTAATCCTAATACCTCTGAAGCTAAATATGTTTCCTTTTTTGGATCAGAACCTGAAGCTGAGTCTTATCTGTCCTTGACACACAGCTAACAACACTGAAGCTGGCACAAAACCACAGAGTAGTCTGACACAGAGCTTATGCTCTTGAGCACTTTGCAGTGATGTCCCCCAGCTGGGCCTCTCTGACTCCTCCTGAGATGAGGGCTGCCTTTGTTTGGGTGAACACCCTTCCCTTTTGAGGAGAGTATGTTGAATGTACTGTACATACAGTTTTGTGGGTTTGCTTTGCTTTGCTTTTTGTAATATTGAGGACTGAAACAGGACCTTCATGTCAAGTTACATTTCCTGCTCCGTTTAAATTTTTTGAAATAGGATCTTGCTAAGTTACCCAGGCTGAGCTCAACTTTCAGTCCTCCTGCCTTAGTCTCCCAGTGTGCTGAGAAATGCAGCTGGGCACTCTTAACAATCTAAGGAAAGTTCACCCTCTCATCTCCCAAAATGAAACAAAATTCAGATCTGTTAATCCTTTCCAAAACTTGCTATTCTTCTATAGTTTGGGTCTTCAGCAGATAAATAATGTAGAGTGTTAACTTCCCAATGAAATTTAATGCCAGAAAAAAAGAATGAGGCCAAAAAGTTCAGAATCACTCTTTTCCTTATATGGTGAGTAAAGTCTTGGAACATACTTTAGCGGGAAGGGAATTTTTTCAGTTACTTTCAACCGGAAAATACGAAAACAGATTTACCACTAGTTGCCAAACTATGCTTAAAAAAATATAGCTTAAATTTTTTTTTTATTACTTAATGACTCACTTTTCAGATTCAAAAGTGTAGTGCCAGATCTCGTACAAAAACATTTACACATTTTTCTGCTCGTTGACTTTAGTTTTAGTTTTGTTTTTTGGGTTGGGAATTGAGCACAGGCCCTTTGCACCTGAGCTATGTCCTTACCTTACACACACCTTTTTTTTTTTTAAATTGTAAGACGGTCTGACTCAGTGGCCAGGCTGTACTCAGATTTGCAACCCTCCTGCTTCCTCATCCCATAGTTCTGGGTTACATGGTGCACAGTCTCACCCAAAGATTTATTTAAATTAGTTTTGATGATGTAGTACTTGTTGGGAGGAGGAACTAAAAATTCCCAAAACCAATCAAGTTGCTCTTCCAGTTTTATATACCCCAAATGAAAAACCAAAAATCCTATTTTAAAACAAAGAAATCATTCTTGAACTTTACAGCTAGCCAAAATAAAAAATAGTGTCAAGTTGTATTTTTTACAGAGGTTGCAGGTGACTCTTGCCCTGAACAGCGCAGTCTTAATGAAATTCGTGGATACATTGGTTGCCCTGGTGAAGCCAGCATCCTTCTGTAACCAGGAGCTGCCACTGCTCCAAGGTGGTTTCCTGTGCTTGGGAACACATGTTGCCCTCACTCCTCATTTTCTGAACAGAGCTATTGGTCACCCAGAGGAGGCCCTGGTGCCCAGGGTCCCCAACAGTCTTTGGGAAGCCCAGGTGGGGTAGGGAGGCTCATTTCAGTAGCTCTTCCTTTCCAAGGCCGGGCACTCCCTTGCACTGCTGCAAGGCGCCTCCTGGTGTCTGTGTGCAGGTTTTTCAGACTGAGCTTTAATATCTCACTCGCACACTCATGCTGTCTTTTTAGGCACATATTATCACACTTTTTCTGTCGCTTGCATTCCCCACATTCATCTTCAGCTCTTAGGCCCTCACACTTATTACCACATACTCATTCTCACTCACTCTCACACTTGATTGCTTTTTCATAGTACTCAAATCTCAGACACATTCTCTTTCACACCTGTTCTCATAGGCAGTTACCTCACACTCACCCTCACATTCCATGTTTTCACTCACACCCATTCTTTCTCTCCTTGTACTCCCTGAACCTCAGACTCCAGCCCAAAGCCCTCCGCTGTGTTCAGATTAAGTTGTGAGAGCTTTCAGCACCTTGGACCTGGGACCCTTGTCTGGGGCTTCCTTGTTGCACTCAGATCTCTCTCTTTTTTTTTTTCAGAGCCCAGCTGGGTCCTACCCTGCCATGAATCCTGCCTTCCTATGATTGAGTTCCCTTAATTTCAGTCACACTTAGGGGGACCCCACCTCAGTCATTTTAGCAAGGCTGTCCAGGGAAGAAGCAGTTCTGTGCATCATCTGAGCAGCGTCACCTGCACCAAGGTAGCAAGGCCTAGAAGTAGGTGCAGTGAAGCTTAGGGCTGCCCCATCTGGAAGGGCTTTGGGGTAAGGAAGCTCGGCATGTTGGAGACGTGGGAGTCTGGCTTAGCACAAAACCACCTTGAAAACCAAGCATGAGGATTTCTTTCTGTCTTATTACTGAGCTGTGAGGGTGAAGCTAGGTCTCATTTACCTGTTGTTATTTTGTGACAGGGTCTGATGTCATTCAGGCTGGCTTGGTATTCACTATATAGCCCAGACTAGCCTAGAATTCATAGCAATCCTCTTACCTCAACCTTCCACACAATGGGATTTACACATGTGCAATGTCCTCTTATGTCTCAATGTCCTGATATATAGATATTCTTGGAAGATTAGATTTTGGGTTTTTTAGCTAAAAGTTTGTGGCACAATTCTATAATCTGAGCTTTGAGAACTTGAGGCAAAAGGATTGCCACAAGTTCAGAGCCAACCTGTGGCTACTTAGTTCAAAACCAGTTTAGGCTGGCCTTGAGCTCTTGGTAGCTCAAGCTGATCGCAAACTCACAGTGATCTTTCTGCCTCAGTCTCTTGAGTGCTAGAATTACAGGTGTGTGTGTGTTTTGGTTTTTGAGGACTGCCTGTTCCTTTATAAGAGATTTTTCTGACCTGTTGCCGTAGGAGGAAAGAAAAACGACAATGAGCCTATGTGGCAGTGCTCTAACTTTACCTTCTGGTCCCACCAGGTGGTTTGAAGACCCATTCTCACAGCTGTGTACCCTTAGTCACGGGGTCCTCGTTATGTTCCTTATAGACTCTCTCTGATGAGCAGAAACACCCCCACACTGTACCGGCTTTGTTAAAGCCCTGGTTCCTTCGTGTGGATGCTCTAAAGATCCTGATAAGGTTTCGGGGTGCTCTTTCTAGTTTGCCCTCACATTTGGGCCTGATTTGCGGCAGCGGGGTCCTGGGAGATACATGGATGCTCTGTAACATGGAAAGTCCAGATTTAAAATTAAGTACTTATTTTTTTCTCTCCTGAGGTTTTTGGTAGGGGAGGATAGTTGTTTTGGGGTTTTTTTTGTTTGTTTGTTTGTTTTATTTTATTTATTTATTTTGGCAAAGTTTACTTTTTATTGGTACCAGGGATTGAACTCATGACCTTGTGTTTTCCAGGCAGGTGCTTTTGCCACTGAGCTAAATCCCTGGCCCTGTTTGTTTTATTTTTTGTTCTTGTGTTTTATGATACAGGGTCTCCATGTATAGTTCAGCTCTGAATTCACTACACATAGCCCAAGCTGGTGTCAAACTCATGGCAACCCTTCTGCCTTAGCCTCCTTAGTGCTGGAACTGTAGGCGTACACTACACCTGGCCCTTCTTGTGTTTTAGATCTCATTCACATGCTGAAAACTCTGAGTCCTGAAGGAATTTTTAAATATGTTGCTTTTTCTTACTTTTGGTCTCTTCAGTAGACTCCACCTTTCTAGTTTACATTTATGTTTAAGTTCCAGGAGTGATTAGAACAGTTTTGTTTTCCTAACTGGCAACTGCAATCCTGCAGTTTCATTTAGCATTTCTTCTACAAGTATAAAACACAAGTAATTCTATTATGTACAGTGTCTATTTTTGAAAACTAGGAAGAGCAGCCTTTTTTTTTCCCAGAAAGCAGTATTTGTAATCAACATTTTCAACTGGTTGTTGTCCACTTAGTAGATTATTGCTCTGAGATAAATAAGTACAAATGTGAAATAAGTGAATGCAGCATGTTCCACTCATAGGAAAATGCATTGGTAAAATCTCATTTTTTAGCTACCACATGGGCTGATTTTTAGTGTTTTTAAAAAATGTTTCTTAGTACATATTTGTAGTCCAACATATTTACATTCCTTGTGGGGAGTTGGCTCATGGACATAACACATCTCAGTTCCTTACTTTAATTCTCTCCTCCTCTCCCTGTCTCCATCTCTTGATCCTCTTTTCATCTGAGAAAGTTTTGTCTTCCTTCTTCCCTTTTTATTTTGCTCTTTGTTTCTGTTTTGGGTATCTAAGGTAAGAGAAACCGTGTAATATTAGGCTGTGTGTCTGATTTATTTCACTTGATGTTATGCATTATGATCTCAAGAGACATCTATTTTTTTTAACAACTGGTTTATCTTTCTTTATGACAGAGTAGTCCTCCACTGTATGTAAATATTGCATTATCTTTATCCAGCCATCTGTTTGTGAATATCAAGCACCAAGATTTGGCTATTTTGAATCATGTCATTGTAAACATGAGTGTGCATGTATCACTACAATGATATTGTTAACTGTTTTGGGAAGATCCCTAGTAGCTGAATACCTGGGTTGAATGGAAATTTCATGTTTCATTGAGAACTCTACATACTAATTTGCATAGTGCCTTTACTAGTTTACATTCCTATCAAAATATAGAAGGCTTCCTTTTTGCCTCACAGGCTTACTAGCATTTCTTACTATTTGATTCCTTGATGTTGGCCATTCTTTCTGGGGTAAGATGGGATTTCAGTAATGCCTGTTTTGGTGAGGTTTGGGAAAAAGACATTTTCATATACTTTTGGTGAAAATGTAAAATTTGTGCAGTGTTTTTGGGAGACAGGTACCATTTTTTAACACTAAAAAAAAATATAAATCTTGGCCTCAGAGTTCCCACTGGCGTGAACCAATGATGTTTTCCATGCATGACTGTCCCATTGGGTGGCGTGGGACAGCCCTATCAGGTAGTGCATGTCATGCAGCAGGACAGTCATGCCTGTATTTCCAGTGGTGTAAGCCACCCAGCAGTGAAGCATGCACATTGTAGGGCCATATTGTAAATGCGTTAAATCCAACTTTTTGAATGTTAGTCTGCATATGTATGCAAGAACGTGTGTGTAAACAATGATCACTGACTTATAATGAGAGAGACATTGCAGACACTGTAATTGTCCACAGTAGATGGGTAAATAAATTATTGAATGTGTTTACTAGTGAAAACTGCAGTGTTATCAGAAAACGAAAGCAGAAGCAGATCTCCATGTACCTGTAAGGAGAGACAGCCTTGATATATTGCAAAGAAAAAGGATAAAGGACAACATTATGTACTACTCATTGTGTTCATACAAAAAGAGAACCTGTGTGGATTGGATTGACAACTGGAAACAGCTTAGATACTTATTCTTGTTCTTTTTAAAAACCAGCTTTTAGAGATTAACTGGACGGGACTGACCAATCTTCTGGACATCCCTGGATTGAAGTGAGTGCTACTGGGCCGTGTCTTTTTATAAGAGTCTTAAAAATAACATGAGAGAGGCTGGGGATTTAGCTCAGTGGCATAAGCACCTGCCTTGAAGCAGGCAGTTGTGAGTTCAATCCCTGGTACCGATAAAAACGAAAAAAAAAAAAAAGAGTTAAAAAATAACATGAGAAAGGTGAGGGACAAGACTTATATCTACCAAGTAGAGCTGGTACCTCCATCAGGTTCTCCTGAAAAACTAGCAAAGAGCAGAGCTGAGGTTTCCCCCCAGCCATGTGTAGAGCTTCCTCATTCAAATAAGCAGGCGCAGAACGGCTCCCAAGAGGGTCTTAGGGCATTGTGTTTTGCCTTTGCCTTTTGTTCCTCTCAAAGTACCTTCTTAGTGATGGTGTTTAAAAAAATACATCAGCCTTTTCATGTTCTTTAAATTAAAATTTTAATTTGGTTTTCATTGTTTTCTTGTAAACAATAGAGAAAGCTTGAAAAATGAATCTTGTACTTAAAATCTAAACCTAGGGGCCGGGGGTTTAGCTCAGTGGCTTAAGTCCCTGCTTGGCAAATGCGAGGTTATGAGTTTGATCCCGGCACCCCCCCCAAAAAAAAAAACCTAACCCTGTCGGGGTGTGATGTTGCACATCCATAATCCCAGCACTCAGGAGGTTGAGGCAAGAGGGTTGCTGTGAATTTGAGGCCAGCCTGGTCTATAAAGTGAGTTCAAAGCCAGCCTGACTTTGTCTCAAAATAAATAAGTAGTAAAGTCTCACCCTGCCTTCTTCCAAAGCTGCAGCTACTCCTTCCATCATCTACCCCCTTTTGAAAGGAATGGTGTGAGAATGGAGACCAAGTGAAGTCTATGCCATCCTACTGGCAATGCCTCCTGCATTCTTTACAACTTAGTGTTGAAAACCAAGAAAAATGCCCACAGCAGTTGCCTGCTGCAGTGACAGGCATGTCCACGCATCACAGCCCATCTGCCTGAAATACACAGACCTGGACAGGCTGCTGCCATGCAGCAAGTGTTGAAATGATAACCTTTTAACTTATGTTTGCTGGTTTTAATCAAAGACTAACATGCTTTGCCTGTTGGCTATAGTTACATGTTTCTAGTGAGTAGTGAGTATTTTGCTTACCTATGGATATTTTTTCCTGAAACAGTTTAGAAATTAGGTTATGAAAGTTTTATTGCAAACTAATTTTTCTGCTCCTATATGTTTGTTTCTGCCTCTGAAGTAGCCATATGAAAAAATTTTATTTTGTTTCATTATAGGAGAAATTATAACTTCAGCAGTCTGAGGCACAGTCATAAATAAAAGTGTATGTTAGGTCCTGTGGTTTAGTATAGAAAAGTACTGTTTAGTATAGAAAAGTACTGTTTTCTTTAAGAGATATGCAGAAGAAATGTAAAGATTTAAAAGATTTGCTAAGCCAGGCATGCCAGAGTATACCTATAATCTCAGCACTTAAGAAACTGAAGCCGGATGGTTGCAGTGAGATTGAGCCAGGCTGGGCCATACAGTGAGTCCAAGACCACCCCAAACTACACAGCGAGACTTTGTCTTAAATAAATAAAAGATTTGTGTAAATAAATGTCTGTTAGGATTTGTGCTTACAACAACAAACCCAGCCATGTTAGTCAGCTTTTGATCACTGTGATCAAATGCCTGGCAAATACAATTTAAAGAAGAAAAGGGTTTTCATGGTGTTTAGGGTTTAGGAGTTACAGTCCATGGTTGACTGGCCCCGTTGTGTTAGGCCTGTGATAAGGCAGAACATCAGAGTGGAGGTAAGTATCTGACCTTCTTGCAGCCAGAAAGCAAAGTGAGAGGAAAGAAAGAGACAGAAAGGAGCAGGGGATAAGAATGTACCTGCCCAGTGACCCACTTCCTCCAGTTGAGCCCACCTCCTGACAGCCTCAACAAGGGACTCATCTCCTGAGGGTTCACTGTCATGGTTCAGGTCCTCTTCAGACCCCATCCCTGAACATTGCTTCCTTGGGAATCAAGCCCTTAATACCTGAGTCTTGGGGGTATGCTTAATATTTAGCCATTATACCAACTCAGATGGTCTTAAAGAGGTAAGTACATTATTTTCTTTTCACTACTGGGGATTGAACCCAGAACCATGCACATGGTAGGCACATGCTCTACCATGAAGCTACATTCTCAGTCCAGTAAGATATATTTTTAAGGCAAATTCTTCAGGAGACACATGGCACTGACTGAGTGCTTGCTCTGAGCTACACCAGCCTGGTCTCTCAGTGAGACGCACAGACGGTATTCATGCCCAGAAATACTGTGTAGCGATTACCTCAGGTAAGATGAATCCATAGAGCTTGTCTTCAGGCAGGTGGTGTCCTTGCTCAGCAGTGCCTGCCAGCTTCCACTTGGCAGACTGCATCCTCCATTGGAAAAGAACCTTTCCCCATTCCTTCCAGCAAGTGCTGGAGCTAGCTCATGCATGTCTACCTGTCTGGACAGATGTGCATGATTCTGATGACTAGGTTTTGATCTTACATGTAGCCCTGGAGAAAACAAAGAAAACCCCAGACTGGGGATCCCTGAAGGTAAAACTCCCAGTGGGCGTGGTGGAGGTGATAAAAGTAAGCTGGCGGGGGGGGGGGGGGACCCAAGCAACTCAATAGGATTCTGGTGCAGACAGGACTCTTCTTGGCTTCCTTCAGTGTTACAGGAGAACTGAAATAGTCCGTTCAGCATCTGCTTTGCTACTCAGACTGTTAGCCACCTGCAAGGGTCCCTTGAGCAGGACATGCTGTGTCCTGGCAAGGGTGGGGTCAGCCCATACAGCTGTATTGAAGAAAGGTATGTGTGCTAGCACAACAAACGTTCATGTCATTATATCCACGCTCACAGTAGCCTCATTTTAGTTAATTGTTGTATTAGGTTCTTTTCATACAGTAGTGATTTCTAGCTAATGTATTACATACACAGAGATTAAAAATACATTACTTAAAAGGATATCTGTGGTATAAAAGGGTTCTATAGAAATACCCCTTTAAAACAAAATTATAGACATAAATGTTATATGTAATTTATACATAAATATATGTTATATGTAATTTATAACATAAATATAATGTTATATGTAATTTATACATAAATATACATATAATTGTGTAAATTTTGTGTATTAAAATTCAGGCTCCAGGTTCTCATTTACAGTCGATCAAGTAAATCAGAGCCATAGCAAGCCTCATGTGTCAAATATCCCACAAAGAGGTACATGTTCAGTAGCCATGAGCCAATACCATGACATTTTGTCCTAGGCTGTGTGAAATGGGCATCTGTCTACTGTGCTTCCTGGTTAAAAAGATGCCAGCTGACTCTGTCTCAGTGAAGGGCTCTAGGCTGTGGTACAAGGTACAGAGTGGAGGGCTCTGAGAGGCAGAAGGAAGGTGAGGAGCAGGAAAAGTGTGTCTCAGGAAAGTCACTGTGCCGGGTGACACCATGCAGAAGGCCAGGAGCAGCACTGCACCCAGTGGTTGGGAGCGTGCAGGGGTGTGGAAAGACAAGCCTGGAGAAAAGTCCACAAGTGAAAAGGCAGTTGGCAGTGAACCCCCTCGGGGAGCACAGACCTAGGTTCTCCTACATATGGAACACAGTAGGAAGCGGCTCCGGGCTTGGGGAGTTTTAGAGTCCTTTTCCCAGGTAAATAGGTCCATAAGGTGGTCTGTGACAGCACAGGTGAATGCTGTCCACCAGCAGGTGCTGTTACTATTTGGTGAACAGTGGTTACTCTGTAAGTGAGCGTTGTCAGGCATGCAGCTGCATGTGTATGTTGGTGATTTAGCACCCAACTAGCAAGAACTGTGGTTCTTTTAAACTTCACTGTTCAGGCAAAGCTGTTTCATAGCAATGAAACTTTGATTTTATGCTTTTAAAAGTTAACACATGAACAATATGTAATTCTCACATTTACTTTGAGTTGAACAATTTCTTTTAAGTATTTTTATTCATGTTCTAAAGTAGATGTCCAGTGGCTTTTATGGCAGCACCAAATTATTAATGTTAATACAAAGAAAGCAAACTAAATTATTTCATTGGAAGCTACCATAGAACAGTAGAGAGAAATTTGTATGAACATGGAATGCACTAATGGATGTTCTGTTCCCTACATTTGTGTATATGTTTGAAACATGTATTTTAAAAATTTAATGAAATATCTTAATTCTTCAGTATTTATGGTGAAATAATTTTCATTTATTTAGGAAATTATTAAACGTAGCTAGAAACTTACTTTGTGTTCTAAGAATAAATTCTACCTCCAGCCTTAGTAGTATTGCAAGTGAAAGGTGAAATATATGCCTCTAATTCCGTTACTCTGGGAGAGAGAGGCAGGAGGATGGCAAATTCAAACCTGTCTCAAAAAAAAGGACTGACTGGGAATGTAACTTAGTATGAAGGCCCTGGGTTCAATCCCCAATGTCAGAAAAAAAAGAAGACACACATAGGCTTTAAATACGGTTTTGGAGAATTTAGAAGTATTCTGTAAGTGGGTATCTTGTTTGTGGTATGTGTGTTGTTAAAACAGATAGCAGGTATTAATGTCTATTTTTTGTTTTCTGTTTCTCTACTTCCCAACTAACAGTGGCTTATCCGATACTATCATTTTGGATATAATATCAAACTACCTGGTGCTTCCCAATCGAATCACTGTTCCTCTTGTCAGTGAAGTTCAGATAGCTCAGTTGCGGTTTCCTATACCAAAGGTAAGTGTGCTATGGCATTCACTGAGCCCCGTTTGAACTGTGTGGGCTTTATGCAGGGTGCTGTGACGTCTTGTGTAACGTCCCCTGACAGCATCTCAGTGCAGTATTGGCCACCCTGCTGCCCTGCTCCAGAGGTGTGCTCATGTACTCTGCCCACCACCACATCAGAGATCTCAGGGTAGCTCTTAAACCGCAGCTACGTTCCTCTAGATTCTGATGGTGCTGATTCTCCAAATGCTCTTCCAGGTTGTAATGAAAACTGAGGAGACATCCTGGTGATTTCAGAAGGCACATGCTTGCTTGTGTTTTTATCAAAACATGGCAGCTCTTAGCAACAAGCTAGGTGAGACTGCTGATATGATGAGGGGTTTTTTGTCTTTTTTTTTTTTTTTTTGTCTTTTTGAGACAGGGTCTCGCTATGCAGTTCAGGCTGGCCATGAGCTTACTTTGTAGCCCAGGCTGGTCTTGAACTCTCAACGATGCTCCTGCCTCAGCCTCCTGAGTGCTGGCATTACAGGTGTAAGCCACCAGGGCCAGCATGATGAGAATTTTGGTATGATGATTTGTGTAGGTTTTCTCTCAGTCACCTCCGGAGTCATTTAACTGGCAAAGTGATAGAGCAGGCACTCATAAAACTGGGCCTTAGCTTCTGCATCTGTAAGTTTACAGATAGTGGAGTCCCTCCCTATGTGGACAGCGTGTGAGGCTTGCCCCCAGGAGGAGCTGCCTCTGGCCAAGTGAGGCCTGTGCAGGCTGGTGTCATCACTGGGGTCTACTACACGTCTGCCTGCACTGTAGCCGCCAGCTGGAGTGTGAAGCACACTGAGATGGGAGCCAGGTCAGTGCTGTTTCAGCACTCCTGAAGTGGAGGTAGCTCTTCCTTGATGCTTTTTACTTTTTATGGTTAAATCGGGTCTCACAACACAGATGAACAAACACACATAAGCTGTATCTTCATAGTTTTTAAAGAGTAACATGTCCAGTTAATTTGATGCCCAAATTACTTATATTGTTGGCAATAGACAGATTTAATGTGGTATTACTTACTAGAAGAGAATGTCTTTTTTCCTTAACTCAGGGGTCTCATCCTGAAGATGCAAGGCTGCTCTCAGTAGGAATCTTCATCTCTCTTTGTCATAAGGGCCATCTGTAACCTAAGTACAAAGAACACTAGATTCAGCCACCTATAATTCTGGGGGCTTAAAAGCCAGTGCTGTTGAAAGATACAGCCAGATCATCTAAGCTTTATTTATACAAAAATATAAATAAGAAAAGCATTTTTTATTTAGTATTGAAGATTGAACCTAGGGCCTTCATACTGAGCTATATACCCAGCCCTTTTAAAAACAGGGTTTTTTTGTTTTTTGTCTTTTTCCTTTGTATCGGTACCAGGGATCGAACTCACGACTGCCTGCTTGCAAGGCAGGCGCTTATGCCGCTGAGTTAAATCCCCAGCCCCCTTAAAAACAGTTTTTAAAAAGTGTTTTCTCTGGATAAGATCTTGTCTTTATTTTTTGGTACCAGAATCAAACTCACAACTTTGCGCTTGCTAGGCAGGCACTGCCACTGAGCTATATTCACAGCCCCCAGGCAAGGTCTTGCTGAGTTGCTAGGTTGCTTGGGTTGGGCTCAAATTTGAGATCCTCCTACCTCAACCAGCTTCCCAGAGTGCTAGGATTACAGACATGGCCTTACTGCTAGGGATTGAACCTGTGACTTCACACATGCTCAGTAACCTTTCTACCGTGGAGCAGTATCCCCAGGTATCTTTCTTACATGCATGCATACACACACACACACACACAATATAAATAATTTCAGGGCAAGGGCTTACCCCACTGGTTAGGATAGCCTCAGTTTTGCAGTTCTCCTGCCTCAGAGTCTTAAGTAGCTGAGATTACAAGTGTGACCCAGTGTGCCCAGCTTTAATGTTTGAGCATGTTTGCCCATAAGGGTGCTTTCTTCCTATGCTCATGTTTTAATAGTTTGAGGGTAGGCCCTACCCTCCTGAACTCTGCCACCTTTGTTTGCCTCAAAAGAAGTAGAAGTGAATTTTCTTTTATTTGAGGAAAAGGACTTACATTTAAAGTTGATGAGTAGCCAGGTGTGGTGGAGCACACCTGTAATCCCAGCATTCAGGAGGCTGAGGCAGGAGGATCGTTGCAAGTTCGAGGCCAGCCTGAACTGCATGGCGAGACTGTGTCTCGAAAAAAGGAAATAATAATAATAATAATAAGGTTGATAAGTAATGTTTCAGTTTTCTCCTCTGTACAGCAGATTTAATGACACTTTCATAGAAGTGTTCCAAAAATTGAGTAGCATCTACACTAACCGCATATTAAGCACTTAGCAGCAGACCTGACATATCATATCATGCTAGTTACCACTATCAGGTTGTGGGACTGTTTGGACATCCTTGCTTCTGGAGCCGAGCGCATTGCCATGCTAGGACCTCTGTGCTCAGTGTTCCATGTGTTACAGGCTCTGGAGAAATCACAGGACTCATTCCCTGCCTGTCGCCTGCCATGGGCTCCGTGGGTATCCACATGGCTGCCTGTTTTTGCTGGGGTATCTATCCTCCTGTCTAGCCAGCATCACACAGATGCTGTGGTCTTTCCTTAACACTTGTCACCTGATCTGTCTCACTATTGCTGTCCCTGCTGGGACACATCCTGCTTGGGAGGAAGGTCTTTGTTTTACTCCCTCAACTTGCCCAGTTCTTAGGACAGGGTTGGGTGCACAGCCATCTCCCATCCTCCATAAATGAGCCTCTGAATGATCTCAACGTTTGCTTTTCTTTCAGGGTGTTCTGAGGATACATTTCATTGAAGCTCAGGATCTTCAGGGTAAAGATACTTTTCTCAAGGGGCTGGTCAAGGGAAAGTCAGACCCCTATGGAATTATCCGTGTCGGCAACCAGATCTTCCAAAGTAAGGTTATCAAGGAGAACCTCAACCCAAAGTGGAACGAAGTGTATGAGGTAGGTGGGTTCACTGAGTGAAGATGTCAGCATCGGTTCCAGGCATGTCCCACAGGAGTGCCACAAGCTTAGGTCATCATTTAAGCTTTCTTGCCTTTAATTTCCTATTTTTTAAAAAATACTATGCCGGGGCTGGGGATTTAGCTCAGCGGTATAAGCGCCTGCCTTGCAAGCAGGCAGTCATGAGTTCAATCTCCGGTACCGATAAAAAGGAAAAAGACCAAAAAATACTATGCCTTTTCTCTCTACCATGTAACTTTATTGTCCTATGAACACATGAGATTTGTAAACCTTCATTTCATACTGTGATCAAGATGAATAGTTGGGAAAATATTTTTTAAAACGTGAATAGCCTTTCCTATTGTGAAGCGTTCTGCGTGGTCACTAATCCAGAAATGCGTGCAGAACTGAGATTGCATTGCTTTGTGAGCTTCACATTGACTGCACATCTTTACACATCAGTGGACAGAGACCCACGGGATATTTGGTGAGCTCCTTGCTGAGGAGACCTGCTGGGAGGCCCAGTGTGCAGTGCAGCATACACGTGTGATACGCGCTTTTCTTCGCTTGGTTCAGTTTTCCCCGTATATAGCTCCTCAGCGTAAAACTGCTGGATCAAAATGCATGAGTATTGGATTTTTTCAGATCATTTTCTTTATTGGTATATGTTTGTAGTACATAATGTTTACATTGCTTCTAGGGAGTTAGTGCATGTACACAACATATCCTAATTCCTTTTTTTTTTTCATCCACTTTTCCACTCCCTCCTCCTTCCCTCTCTTGATCCTCTTCCTCTTTGAGAAAGCTGTCTCCATGCTTCGTATTATGTCTTTTATTTTGCTCTTTATTTATGCTTTGAATTTCTCATACGAGGAAAACCAGGCAGTATTTAGGCTTATGTGTCTGATTTATTTCATTTGGCATTATGGCTTCAAGGCGTATGCACTTGCCTACAAATGACTTGTTTATCTTCCTTTATGGCAAAGGAGTGTTCCATTGTGTGTAAATACCAGATTTCCTCTATGCATTCATCTGTTCGTGGACATATAGGGCATTTCCACATTTAGCTATTATGAATTATGCTACTGTAAACATGGGCATGCAGGTATCACTGGAATATGATGTCCTTAATTCTTTTGGGAAGATGGCCAGAAAGGGAATAGCTGAGTCGAATTTTTTGTTGTTGTTGTTACCAGGGATTGAACTCACACCCTCATGCTTTCCAGGCAGGTGCTTGTGCCACTGAGCTAAATCCTTGGCCCAGAATTTCTAATTTTAGTCCTAAGAGGAATCTTTCCACAGTGGTTATACTAGTTTATACTCCCAACAGTAGTGTAAAAAGGGTCTTTTCCAAGGTATGCACTTTTACAGGACACAGCTGTCCTTCAGGAAAGTGCTTGCCCCTTCAGCTTCTGTCTTCCATCCATGTACAGCACCAGGGTTTTGCAAATGCCTTGTGCTCTGAGTGGTAACTGGGTAAATTGGCAGTTACTTGGGGCTGGTATCTGAGTGGAGCCACCTTGTGGCTCAAGTGATGCATCCTCGATCTTCACTAATGTGACTGATCTGGTTTGAGGGGAATTGTCCTCAGCCCATTGCTATGTAATTCAGATGTCTAGACTAGGGGCTGGGGATTTAGCTCAGCAGCATAAGTGCCTGCCTGGCAAGTACGAGGTCATGAGTTCAATCCCCAGTACCACCAGAAAAAAAAAAAAAAAGAACAGATGCCTAGACTAGACTGTTTCTATATGGCAGAAACTTCAAGTGGCCCAGTTATTGAGTGTGGTTTGACAATAAAAGTTTTGAATTCTTTATAATGCTTATTGATAGAGAAAAATACGTATAAAAGAAGTATGTACATTTGCTACAATCATCTTAGTTAATATATTATTGTATTCATAAAAATTAAGTACCTACTCACCATTGAGTGTTGTTGTTGTTTTTCAGGCTTTAGTCTATGAGCACCCTGGACAAGAATTGGAAATTGAACTTTTTGATGAAGATCCAGACAAAGATGACTTCTTAGGAAGGTGAAGACAGCCCTCCTGTTGCTGGGAAAGTTTAGGAGCACTCTGCTGTTGATCACACTGTAACAAATATGAGTTTTAAAATGTGTTTATTTATAAGCATACATTTTTAAATGGCTCTTAGATATAACATTTGTTTCACTTTGATTTCTTATGATGTTTTTATTACTAAAACATCCTACTGAAGAGAAGACAAGTTTCCAGCATGGCTGTCACAGTGACCAGTACCCATGGGCTTCACACTGAGTTACCAGAAGCAGTCCAGCTCAGCCCTCAGTTGCTGTGTGCAGAGCCTGCCCCCGTTGCAGGGGAGTTCACAGACATGTCCTTCTAGATTATAAAAATGGGTTTTTTCAGTTTGTTGCGGTACAGTAATTTACACTGTGCCTGCACATTGGGAAAATAAATATTGATTTCAGTTGAACAACTAATATAGCTTGGGGAAAATGAAAAGTACACCTAAACCTGATCTTTATTATTTAACTGAATTTACTGCAGTAAAAAGAACGTAAGAAAACATAACTTTGCAAAGGTTTGTGCCTTGTCCAGAGTGATGTTACATGTTTTCACCACAAAGTCCATGACTGTAAATGCAGCAGCACAGCTAGGAGCTGTTTGAACAGGAATGAGGGCAGAAGAACTTGCATTGTAATACAATCAGCTTGTGGGTTGCAGGCTGCAGACCAGCTGGGGCCTGCAACCCACAATATAATAATAGCTCCTGATCCAACAAGATCCAGGTAGCTAGGCAGAGCGCAGGATATGCTGAAGGAGAACACAGGTATAATCTTGCATCCTGGGGACTGGTGCCATCCTCTCTGCCTTAAGAATAGGAGACCCAGAGCAGGCTTCCTCATGGGCCTTCCAGTGTGAGGCTTGAGTACGGCTGTAGAAGAGGTCAGAGTCCTGATTCAGGATGTGGTGATCTGAGTCCACAGTGAAGAGTGGCAGTGCCAACAAGAGTGTGGAAGATAAGTTGTACATTTTTGCTGTGAAATTCACTGTGCAGAAGATTAGTTTACTATAGCTCTGACTTTAGCTGGGCCAAACTGGGTACTCTGACTCCCCAGAAACCCAACCCTGCTCTTGTACCTGCTTCTCCTGACTCTGGAGCAATAGCTAGAATGAGATTTTGGGGAAACAGCCTATTTTGTGATAAATTGCATAGCATTTTGTTACATTTCTGGAGTACTTTTTCTTTCTATTGTAAGAAATGAGTCTGTTTTAAACTTTGTGTTGTTACTCCTGTAGTCTTATGATTGATCTCACTGAAGTTGAAAAGGAGCGCCTGTTAGATGAAGTAAGTTCTCTTTATTTTGGTTTATTTAATAAACATTGCCTGAGTGCCTACGATGTGCCAAGGGAGTTGAAGTTTACTACTGTCACCCACCCATCCAGTTCAGGGGTCCTAGCTAGAACTATAGGGATAGCATTTTCTTCACAAATATTAAGAAGAACAGAGGCCTTTAGTAATAGCAAAGTGAAAAGAAATTTGGGAGTCCAGCTACCATATGCTAGCAGTTCTCTTGGTCACAAGACAGATGTCATTTCAGACAATGTGCTCCTACAAGAAGGAAATGCACATAGACTGTGAGGAGCCCACACAAGGTAGTTTCCATGGTAGTTGGAGTTCTTAGAGAGAAGGCATAGTACAGTCAGACTCTAAAAGACACCTGTAAATAAATGGGGATTTACAGCAAGAAGACATAACCTCAAGCAGGGATACTGGTATCAGAAAAGAGAAATGTGTAGAGGCTTCTAAAAGACAGATAAATTTAACTAAGGGAAGCCTACTGGCCTAATCACTGTGTTCTGTGCCCAGCACCCATGTGACAGGTGTTTCTTGTGCATCGGTTGGGTTCCAGGCACGGAACACAGTATTGGATAGAATAGATAGAGCCTGGACTGTTGTATTTTCCTTTTCACCACTGAGTGTTTGGGCACCTCCTTTGATTGTTTTGGAGCTGAAACTAACTTATGTTATTTTACTAATTGGCATATAGTGATGAACAAAACAAATATGTTAACTTGCTCAGTACTGATACTCAGTGTTGAGGAATCAGTGTTGTGTATCTCAGCTTATAAATCCCATGTGCATCCATCTGCAGAAGGCTATTGGAATCCTGTATTCATGGGGTGGAGTTTGCATTCATTGCTTTTCCAAGACTTCATTCATTTCGGTGCATTGCATGCAAAGCCTAAGAGTCCTCTCTGGCCAGCCCCAGCCCTCCCTGTCATAAAGCAACATATCACAAGCGTGCAGGATACAGAGCTCACCTATCATGTTCATGCCAGCCAGTGCTGAGAACTCTTTGCTGCCTTGTAGTCACTGAGAACTTGTGGTGTGTAGAGAAGAGGTTTCATGTGAAGTTTCGCTTCAGAACTTCTGAGCTTCTGCACTTTCTCTTCAGTGGTTCAGTCTAGATGAGGTTTCCAGAGGAAAGCTACACCTGAAGCTTGAGTGGCTCTCCCTGCTGCCGGATGCCTCCCACCTCGACAAGGTGCGCGCAGTGTCTGCACACAGTGGCCAGCTCTCCTGCCCTTGGCGTCTGTCTCAAATTGTGTTGCTATTCAATTTAAAATTATGCCAATAATCTTGATTATTGTGCTGTCACCTTAGTGTCATGTGTGGGTAAACTAAAGATAATAGAATGGGTTTTTGATTTGGGGTGTTTTGTTTATTTTTTTCCCAGTGCTGGAGGTCGCATCTAGGTCCTTCATACTGAGCTATATCCCCATCCCTTTTAGTTTTGATATTTTACTTTGAGGCTAAGTGTCACTAAGTTGCCTAGTCTGGTCTCAAACTTAGGATCCAATTGCCTCAGGCTCCCAAAATGTTGGAATTCCAGATATGCAGCTATATTCCTAGCTATTACATGGAATTTTAAACAGTGAAATATAGAGGTCATTATACCAATTTTACAAGAACTTCAGACTTTATGCTTGCTCAGTGTAGGGATTTGAAGAGCCAAAAGTCACCTGAGTGTTCCCTTTAATTGATTTACAATACTGCTGTTATTTTGTTTTCTTTTTCTTTTCTTTTTTTGGTTTCAGGGATTGAATTCTTGACCTCCTGTTTGCCACGCAGGCACTTATGCCACTGAGCTAAATCCCCAGCAGTACTGTTGTTGCCTAAAAGACATTTATGGTTCCAGTTCTCAGTCTATTGCATGGATTAGATGGTTCATTCATTACCTTTTTAGTTCCTTGAACATAATGGAAATCAGACAGTGAGACAGAAATGGTGTACTGTCATGTGAACATGTACCCACTAAGGCTTTTTCTTCCCCTAGGTGCTGACAGACATCAGAGCTGACAAAAATCAAGCCAATGATGGTCTTTCTTCTGCTCTGCTGATCTTGTACCTGGATTCAGCAAGAAATCTCCCGGTAGGTAACACCATGCCTGGTCGTTTCACCTGGCAGCAGATCTTGCTGGGAACCACTGCTCTGGCCAGTCTCCTTAAACCATTGATGAGTCTTGTCTGCTGCAAGTGCAGCAGCAGAAAGACATGTCAGCACTTGCTTTGCATATGATTATCTTAGTTATAAAAATTTTGTTGCCTAAAGGTGGCAGTTTTCTCTACTTGGAAATAAAATGAAGCATTTCTGATTACACATTGTAGCTGGGATGTGTCTGGATGTCATACAAGCTGCTGTGTCCAGCAATCCCCACTACATGAAGTGGCACGACAGTGCCACTGAGCAGGTGTCACAGGCCTTCAGGTGTCAGGGTACTCTAGCAGAACAAAAGACATTAGATGAATAATCCACTGTCAAAATGTTGTTTTACAACCTAAAAATATATGCTTTTGTTTGTTTCCATTAAAATTATTTTGCTCTTAAGGAAAAAAACCATAAAGTACAGTTTTGTAGGTAATAGCTGCAAATCTTGGAGAAGAAAACTGTTATTTCTGTCTTCCCAGCATAGTGTGATCTTCTGCTATGGTACTTTAAACCCCCTCTGCATGTTAATGTCATCACTATTACACTATTTGATCATTTTTTTGAGTGCTCATATTCTTGTTTACCAAGTAATGATTCTTTATTTCACTGTGTTAATGGTCACTTTTGTTGAAAAAAAGAATACTGCTACCAAGCTAGGCATGATGATGCACACCTGTTTCCCAGCACTGGGGAGGCTAAGACAGGAGGATTGCTGTGAGTTGAAGGCCGTCTTGGGCCACGTGTGTGTTCAAGGCCAGCCTGAACTATAGCAAGACCTTGTCTGGAAAAACCAAATTATGTATATAAAAAGAATATTGCTGCTAGTACAGAGTTCTTTCCTCAAGGTGATCCATTGCACAGTTCTTTTGCATGCACATACCCATTCACATACATGCATTTGTGAATGAATAATTCTCCAGACAGAAAGCCATGAATCACTTTGCCTTTTCAATGCTGCATCTTAGTCTTGAATGATAGTTACTTCACCCATTGTAGTTCTGCTTACCATGGATAAACCATTCTTTCTTTCTTTTATTTTTGATAAACCATTTCTTTATGAGTCACAAAATTGTTTCATTTGGCACCTTTCAAGTTTTGAAAATTATTCATTTATTTGGATTTTGTTCCAAAATGAAACAACCATACTTTGTGCATCAATAAGTTTTACTTAAAGCTAATAATTAAAATACAACAGCATTTTTTTTAATGCTAGGAGGATATAATTAAACTTTTTGTTTTGTTGCCTATAATTGTATTCTTTCTTTCAATAAAGGTTTCTTGACTGATTTCTCAAATTCTTACATCTCTCTTAAAGAATTTTCCTTAACCTTTGACTTTAATCTAAACTCTTTATTTGCTTAATTTCAAATTGGGAAAAGTTACCTAATCATTATTTAACCATTCTGTAGAATTTCTTGTACAGCAGGAGTTTCTCCTTTTGACCACAGTAATGTTTGTTTCACAGTGTGATGGTATGATGTTTTACAGTGCCTGGTGGGAGTGAATTTGTTGTCTGTTTTAGCAGATAGAGAGTAGAATTGGTGAACTTGCAGGGCAGGATTTAGAATGTTTTGTCAGACTGAGTTGAAATTTGAGTGACATTGCATAGCAGTAAGAAGCATGGTGAATGTGCTGATCCTCTGTTACAAGGGCATTTTGTGCATGAAGTGTGCTGTGGCCATCAGAGGCAAAGGATCTGGCAGAGCTGCTGCCCTGTTGGGCAGGGTGTTAGCCCTGCACTGGGGTCCCTTGATTCTGCCTCTGCACCCGACTTCCTGCGTGCACATTGACCACTGTCCACCATTGTTTGCTTTCTCCTCCCATTTCCACTTTCTTAAGAGTATCTACGAGGGAAACTTTGGGTGTGGCTACTTAAAAGAGAGGCGAGCGTCTGGACTAGTGTTTTGTGAAAATACTACCTCAGTCTATAGAGCACTATTTGTGAGTCCTCCAGCATTCCTTCTTTTCTTGAGTGGAAACTGCGAGAGTGTGGCCTGAACCTCCATGTAGTCTGCGCCTCTGGCATGGTGTGCATGCTGTGCACATTTTCTTGCATGGTGTCAGTTACATGTGTTCACTCTGCTGGTTGTGTAAAATATAACACTGCTGTAACATTGGTGAGTGCATCTGACCTGAGGTGAGCTAACTGGAGATTCCTCCGCTGCTGCAGGCCCAGAAAAAAGTAAAACTCTCTGAGGAAAACAAGGACACATAGTGCTCACTTTGATTTTCTGGTAGTTCATCTCAGTGTGAGATGTAAATATCTTTTTGTTAGTTGTCCTAAAACTTTCTTGATTCTGCATTTTCTTCCTGAGCAAGCACAGCAGTGTTAGAACTCACTGTCTTTCAGCCCACACCACCCAGTGCTCTCGAAGTCACTGAGGCACAGTCGTGGGAGGACAGGAGTCACCATCCTGGCGAGAGCCTTCCTTCTCCCAGGTGACTTACTCAGAACCCTAGAGCAATAGAAGCCACATTGCATTTGTGATCCAGCTCGCTATAGGGAACTGCACTTCCCGGAGAGATTATGAGCACTTTTGATTCTGATTTCAGGAGAAAGATATTTTGTTCCCGCTAGCCATGTCTAGGACCTTCACTCTGGGACTGGTGCTGGTGACTGGTCTCACTTGCTCTGGGGTTCTAGGAACCCTAGCCTTACTCATTAGTCTAGAAAGTTGCTCTTCAGATTTAGTTTCAGTAATTACTTAGATTCTCAAAGTCTATTTTCTCTTGAATGTACCAATAAAGGTATTCTGCAGTTTTAGACTTTTCTTTTCTTTTCTTTGGTTTTTTGAGGCAGGGACTTACTGTATAGTGCAAGCTGGCCTTAAACTCACTCTGTAGCTCAGGCTGGCCTTGTACTTACAGTAATCAACTGCCTCAGTCTCCGGAGTGTCAGAATTACAGGTGTGTACCACCACACTCAGCAATTTTGGAGTTTTTATTTTTGTTTCCAGAGGCTTTCTGTAGGCATTCTCAGTCTGTTTATACAGTATTTCTGAAAAGAGGGAATGGAATAGATGCTTTGCCCCATTTTATAGATGGAGAGGTTCAAGACCCAGGAAGATAGGAACTATCAGTCACACTACTAGTGAGTAGAGACCAGGCTCCTGGATTCTGTGCACATGTTTAAGGAAGGCAGTGGTGTGTAATACAACATATCCTAACACTTTTAAGAAAATAATTTTCTGCTTCTGATGTTCTTAGTGGAAAATGTCATATAAACTAGGATAAATGCAAGATAGCTACGCTGTATAAATTGTTAGTCTCTTCTTAGTAGGTTTTCTAAATCACATTCCCTAATTTACAGCTGCTTCCTCTGGGGAAAGGAAACAGTTCTGACTTTGCATCAGATGTTTAAATTACTTTGATGTATGTAGCCTATGATACTGATGGGTTCTCAAATTAACTTCTCTCCTGCATTATCAAAATCACATTGCACTTTGTGATTGAAATGTATGAACCATGTAAAGTGTTCTGTGAAATAGATGTGAGCACTTTCTTGTCACCGACCAGTTTCCAGTATGAAATCAGATCCAACTTCTCAGCTCTTGCTGACAGGCAGCGGCCTGGCTGGACCCGTAAATTTTTAGGTGGCTGCCTGCTCATGGCTCCTGTCCACTTGCACAGAGCCCTTCAATTTCCACTGCATTGAGACCCCCGAGTGAAAAAGCAAAGTAGCAGGACTTGCCCCGGTATGTAGAAATGACCTCTTTAGACTATAGATGCTTAGATCGTTGCCCTCACTCCTCTTTTGATCAAGTCTATACTGGACCTTAGGCATGAGCAGGGAAGATGTCTTCTGGCTATGATGGCAGCGCTAGAACATTGGATTTGTGTAGTAACTCATGTTGAGAAAGCACTTCGCAGTACCCAGGCCAGGCTCTGAGAGCCCCACACAAGCCCCTCCCTCATTGACTCCTCCAGACCACGAGACACGGACAGCACAGAGCCGAGCACGTAGTGACTCGGATTAGTCCACCACAAGGTCAGTGAACAGCAGAGCTGTCGCCTTATCAGGCTCACGGGTTCATAATGCTGCATGTGGAATTTACCTGAGAGGAGAAGTATTTGTAGTACCTGCCTTAAAGGTAGCAGCGCAACTGTGTAATAGCAACTGTTGTGCAGACCGTTAGGGATGGGGATGCTTTGTGCAAGTTCTTTTGACTGCCATTTAAACAAAAAGAGCAGGTGCTGTTGCTGTGCCACTGGTGGTGAAAGGCCAAGGTGCAGGGTGCCTGCCTTCTGAGCCTCTCGCCTGGACGTCAGCCCAAAGCATTTCAGGTCCAGTCTCTCTCATCCCAGGCTGTGCCTCACATGGTTCCCTGCACATACTTGTCCCCACACTACACTCCCCACTTGCTTCCCTGTATTTGATGCATGTTAGAACACTTGGCTCACTCTACCTGCCCAGGGTGAACTTCAGGAAGAGGCCCCTGTGATATCTGACCCCTGAGGCCAGAACTAGGCAGCATGTAAGACCCCTACATATGGTACTATTTAGGGGAGTTATTCAGCAAAGGATAATGAGTGGAGCCCTTTCCTAAAGTCTCACTCCTGCATTTTTCAGCTCCCAAAGGATAAGGGTGGTGGGGAGAAAAGTGTTATTAAGTGTAAGGAAGTATATTTTGATGTTTCTAGATTAAGCTTTACTCTAAGATAAGATCTTTGGCATAAAGAAGAATTTAATAGTTACTTGTGTAGTTCTTAGAAATTTTGTTTAATTTTTTGGATTTATCTTTATAAGTTTTCATGTCATTAACCTTACATAAACTCCTCATTGCATGTTTTATTAACCCTTGGTGTATTCATTTTCTTCTGATCTGAAAGAGTAACCCATTAGACTTTAACCCCGGTGTCTTGAAGAAGGCTGCGGTTAAGAAAGCATTAAAGGTAAACGCAGTGCTCCCCGAGGTTACAGCGTCAGTCGAGACATATTGAAAGAGTGGTGTCTAAACAGCATGCGTGTGGCGGACCCTCCCACACAGACACAGTAACTGGTGGTTCAGTGGGAGACCTCCCACTTACTTATCCAATTGATAGAATCTGCATCAACTCTAAAGGTAAATTTTGTAAAGTTGATAAATCCTCTTGGCCTGAGTTTAAATACCTGTATTTTATTTGGATCTGAGTTTGTGAAATGGTGATCTGTGATTCAGAGATACACCTTGCAAACCACAAATACACGTGTAAGAAATCACCTCTTCCAATATGTTGAGTAGCGACCTGAATCAGCCTCACAGCTTTGGTGCTGCGGGTTCGGGTAATGGATCATTCCAGAATTTTAAATCTGATTAAATGAGGTATATTGAAAACTCAGCTCCACTCTCTAAAATACAACATTAGTGTGCATTCTATGGTTAAACTGTCAAAAGTTTTCCACAACTTACAATGTCTTGCATTCTTTTCCTCTAATTTCTCTGAACATTTTAGAATTAAATATTTGGGAGAGGGGTTTCAAATGTAATTCTGTTGAGAAAACTCCCAGTGAATCAAACAGGAATGCCTTTTAACTAGTATCCCAAAACAGTGAGGGAAGCTGGGAAGGACTGCTTCCTCCTGTGCTGTGTCTTGGTCCTCACTGATGTCCAGTCTGTGACTGCACCTGTGAGCACTTGTCAGCAGGCATAGAGCCCACACTGTGCTGCCCGGGCCAGCGGCCTTGGCTGTGCTCAGCCCTCACCATTGTCTGCCCTGTGATCGCTGCCATGCAGAGCAGCATTGGGAAGGAAGGCTCTGCAGTCAGGCCTCTCAGCGCATGCCCTCTTCCTACACCTCGTTCAGTCTGTTCCCTTTATAGAGGAGGTCTGTCATTTCCATGGGATTACTGAGCACATTAAAAGTGTTTTAGGCAGGAAAACAGATATAATTGTCACATCGCTACATTGGATCACTGAAGCCTAACACTAAGATTCTGGAAATTATGTCACTTCCCTTTTATAGACATGGAAATGCAAGTACAGATAACAGAACACATAGGTCCTGGTGATGGAGAGGTAAAGAGCTGAAATTTAAATTCAGGACAACCTAGGGCTGGGAATTTAGCTCAGTGGCATAAGCGCCTGCCTGGCAAGCACAAGGTCCTGAGTTTGATCCCCGGTACTTCAAAAAAAGAAAAAAAAAATTCAGGACAACCTGACTTAAAAGTTTCTATTTTCATTATAATTTGTGCCTTTGATTGGTATGGATGCATTTGAACATTATATCATGGTAGGAAACAGTGATTGAAGCTGACTTCATGTAGTCTAAAAGTCACCCATTTTAGGATAACCTTTATGGTACCACTTAGACAGACTGTAAAGCCAGGTATGGTGCCACATGTCTGTACCCCCAACATTTTTGGAGTCTGAGACAAGAGAAGCACAAGTTCAGTGACATAGTGAGACACTACCTCAAAATAAAAAATTAAGAGCAGGGCTGGAGGCTGGGCAGGCCGAGGAGGTAGCTCAGTGTAAAAGCCCTGAGTTCTAATCCCTGGCACCACAAAGGGAGAAAAAAGAAAGCAAGAAAGGATGGAGAAAGATTATAAAGTGTCAGTTAAATTTTGATAGCATTTACTTAATATTTACTGAGAAAATTTTATTTAATTTTTTTATTGACTGTAGAAACCCTTCCTAGGTCGTGTATTGCTAATATTGCCTCCTCCTCTGTGGGCCATTATGCGCTCTTTCTCTCTCTCCTTCTATCTCTCCCCTTCTCTCCCTCTCTCCCTCCCTCAGTACCAAGGATTGAACTCGACCTCAAGCTTGCCAGGCAGGCACTGTACTGCTGAGCTGTATCCCCAGCCGAGGAAATTTTTAGAGTTAAGATGAACACAATTTTTTTACCTTGCACATGTATACATGAGAGGAAGAAGAAGCGCAGTGAATGACTGAAACGTGAGAACCATCTCTCATGACTACAGAATACCCAGAGCTGGGTCACACTCGCAGCTGCAGTGACTGAGGGAAGACAGGCATCCGTGCTACGGCTCTGCAGCACCATCCGTGTCACTCATGCTTTGGACGGGAGCAGCAGGGCCCACGTCCTCCTCCAGGGTCAGAGTTAGTTACTCTGTTAGTCATCCAGGGGATCGTGGTGATAGAGGGGCTTCAGCATATAGGGGATTACGCTCAGCTAAACTGGGGGCTCTGCCATCAAAGGAGAGTAAATGTATTCAAGAGAAACATTAGTGTTTTGCCACAGTAGTCTATGGCCTTGAATATTCTTTTAACAGTATTTATTTCATTTTGCAGAACTCATTCACTTCAAAAAGATGAACCAGAAATAGATTATCACAGTAGGTTTGGGCTAGTAATATTTTCCAATAGCCATGATTTTGACATCTATTTCTGTCATTGCTGCAGTGTCGAGGATTGACTCTAAAATTACTTGACTAAAAACAAAAAATTTGTGATTTTCCAATTAATTTTCACTAACAGATTTTTAACTACACCTTCTTGTGGGGCTAAGTTGTAAATAAACCTCATGTCACGTATCTGTTGTGTTTTACTATGTTTTCTTCTATCAGCTATTTGTGCTAAAGAATGCTTCTTGCTATTTATTCTTATTCTGAAAATTTCCTTTTTATTGGCTTACTTTAATGCAATTCCAAACAGAAGTCTGTTCTTACAGTCGAAATTACTTAGCAGCTGTTAAGAAAGATTTGATGTCTGATAGCTGCTTATGTTTGAAAGGAGGGTGCTGGATTAAAAATGTGAACCACTCATCGGGAACTTTATAGCATTTTATGACTCCAACTTGAGAAGTATTCTGAATTACTGTTCTTTTACCTATCTTTCCCTGTGTATTTGGTTTCCATTTACTACACTTTATACATTTTGTTATTCTAGTGAATAACTTCTGAAAACCCTTAAGTAATATTAAAGAGTTCTAAGACATTCAGTTTTCCCAAAGTAACTTTCTTAAAAACAACATACTATAACTTTTAAAAATGTAATGCAAGCCAGGCATAGTGGTGCATGCCTATAATCCCAGTACCGTAGGAGGCTGAGGCAGGAGGATGGCAAGTCTGAGCCCATTCTACCAATTTAGCAAGGCTGTGTCTCAAAAAAATTCTAAAAGGGCTGGAAATGTAACGCAGTGTACAAGCCTTTGATTCAGTTTCAAGCACAGAAACAACAAAACATTCAGCTCACCACAGTGGCAGCATGTCTGTAGTTCTGGCTACCTGGGAGGCTGAGACAGAAAGAGTGATTGAATCCAGGAGTTTGTGATCAGCCTGGGCACCAGGGAAACTTTCATCTCCAACAACAAAAAGCTGGATATGGTAATTCATGCTTGTATTCCCAGCCCTTGGAAGGCTGAGGCAGGAGGATCACTGCAAATTCAAGGCCAGCCTGGGTGACCTAATGAGTTCAAGGCCAGCCTGAACTGCGTAGCAAGACTGTCTCAAAAAAAAAAAAAAAAAATTGTAGTCAAATTGAAGTTTTCTTAATTTGTTTCACAGAGTTATAGATCCAAAATGCTTATCAGTTAATTCCCAGTTAAATTGTTCCTAGATACTCATTCTCTATATCTGAAGTATTAGTGGTAAATAGAAATGAGTCAATATCGGCCCAAAATGTCATTTTTAGTAAGATGTGTTTCCAAAATGTATGTATTTATTTTGTCTTTTGCGTTTGTTTTCAAATAGTTAGGGAAGAAAACAAACAGCAACCCAAATCCGCTTGTCCAAATGTCGGTTGGTCACCAGGCTCAGGAGAGTAAGGTAAGGTGCTAGTGTTAACCAGTCTTGTGGGATTGTCTTCACGTACTCACGTCTGTTGCTGTCACCAGCATTGAGACAGTGTTCAACTGTGTGGTGGATTAGGCATCAGTATTTTTGCTTTGTATTTATTTTCCCCTTAAAACAGTCATTTCATAGATCAGTGGCCATCTAAATTGGTAATACATTGTTCACTTTTCAAGAGCATTAAAAAATACCTTGCAGGGTTTGGGGATTTAGCTCAGCGGCATAAAGCGCCTGCCTTGCAAGCAGGCAGTAGTGAGTTCGATCCCTGGTACCGATAAAAAGGAAAAAGACAAAAAATATGAAAAAAAAAGAAAAATACCTTGCAAATATGCTTTTCCTTGATATCATGAATAGTGTAAATCCCTAAGTTTCTCTTGAGCACTGCATAAATATTTTAAAAAACCAAGTGTGCATAAAATTCAGCAAATGTAGCTAACTTCAGGAATTAAGGAGCCAGACATGGTGGCGCATGCCTGTGATGTCAGCATTTTAGGAGGCAGAAGCTAAAGGCAGGGACTGCAAGTTTGAGCCCAGCCTGGGTAGCTTAGACCCAGTGGCAAAATAAAATATTCCTTAAAAGCACTAGGGTTATAGTTAGCTATGAAAGATGCAGTTCAGTCACCAATACTACACACCCACACACAGACAGAAAGGTGATGTTGCCTCTTCAGCATGTAATGTTTGTCATTCCCGATTCAAGAGAAAGCATCTCAGAACTGATTCCATTAGAAGCCATTGTTTAGGGGCTAGAGATTTAGCTCAGTGGCATAAGTGCCTGCCTTGCAAGCAAGCAGTCGTGAGTTCGATCCCTGGTACCGATAAAAATGAAAAAGACGGGGCTGGGGATTTAGCTCAGCGGCATAAGCACCTGCCTTGCAAGCAGGTAGTCATGAGTTTGATCCCTGGTACCGATGTAAAGGAAAAAGACAAAAAAAAAAAAATGAAAAAGACAAAAAAAAAAAAAAGAAGCCATTGTTTATATTTGTTAGCCCAAACAGGCCACATATGGTGATGGCCCAGGCCACTGAGCCACTGAGCAGGTGATGTCTCTGTCAGCACACTGGTTGGGTTTTGTGCAAACCAACTTCCCAGGCACACTTAGAAGCTTTGGACCACTCCCCATGTTTCTGCACGCTCCCCACCCCCATGAACTAATATAGTGGCACACAGTCAGTAAATATGTCTTAGAGTTTAAGTCATTCTGTGCTTCTGAACACTTTCGATTAGTGACCACAATATTGGTAGCCCTCTCCTACAGAAAATATCACAGAGCTGATATTGGGACATTTCTTCCAGATTCGCTATAAAACCAATGAACCCGTGTGGGAAGAAAACTTCACCTTCTTCATTCACAATCCCAAGCGACAGGACCTTGAGGTTGAGGTATGTTGTTCATATCTTTTTACTGCTGTGATGTAATATAATTGCCTTACAGTTAACTACCTGTATTTAAAGTGTACAGCCTAATGGACTGTGACCTGTGGACCTGTCACCACAATCAAGATAATATGTCCATCTCCAAAAAAGTTTCCTCTGTACTCCTTACCTCTCCCTAAGTACACCACTGTAAATCACTGTTCTCAGTTCCTGAAATTTTATACATAGCATTATACAGTTTGTTCTCTTTTTATGTGCACTGTTTCATGGAATGACTGTGTTATTGCAAGTATGAATAGCTCATCTTTTTTATTGCTGGGTAGTATTTCATGGAGTGCATGGGCCACAGTTGGTTTATCTATTCACCTGTCAGTAAAAGCTTGATGAAAGTTAGGTTCTTCCTGCCTAGACCTATGCAAGATCAATCTGCTCTGAGCACTCAGTCTTTGTGTGGACATGTCCCTCCAGTTTTACTGACCAGTTGTCCCCAAGTGGAAGTGGCTGCATTGCCCTCTGCACATCTTGTCGACCTTCCAGTCAGTGGACTGAAAGTGCAGCAGCCCCAACCCAGTGTGTCACCCCTGCAGCATCTGTTACCCACAGTCAGCCACACACTGGACCTTGGGCCATGTTATCACAAGAAGATGGGCTACAGTACAACATGATGTGTGTGTGTGATAGAGGGAAAGCGAGAGAGAAAGGGAAGGAGGGGGAGAGAGTGGCAGGGTCCAGCTGGCCTTGAACTTTAATCTTCCTCAGCCTCCTGAGTGCTGGGATGACAGACCTACGCCACCACTTCTGGCACAGTGAGACTAACTTTGAGCGCACGGGAGAGACCACATACATATCACTTTTATTACTATTTTATCACTATTGTTAAAGCTGTTCTGTTGTTTATTCATCTCTCACTGTGTACACTTTATAAATTAACTTCATCATTGACATGCATCCAAGGGCTGGGGATTTAGCTCAGCGGCATAAGCGCCTGCCTTGTAAGCAGGCAGTCGTGAGTTCGATCCCTGGTACCGATAAAAACGAAAAAGACAAAAAAAAAAAAAAAAAAAAACTGCACAGACATGCATCCATACACAGGAGAGAAACACAGTACATTTCTGTTTCCGATGTCCATGTGGCGTATGTCCTCAGCAGTGAGGGTAACAGCAGCATCTTGAGGTCTTCGGTGCAATGCCTGATGATGTTGGGTGTCTTTTCCATTGTCTCACTTGCCATCTGTATTTCTATGTAACAGAAAAATGTCTTCAATCCCTTTGCCTGTTTTGGGGAATTAGGTTATTTATGTTCTTAGTACTAAATTGTAAGATTAATACATACTAGAAGCAAGTATTTTTTTGGATGTATTTTCTGCAATTATTTTCTCAATCTGTGGCTTGACTTTCCATTTTACAAGTGTTTAAGGGGTCAAGTGTGGCACCACATCTCTGTCGTCTCAGCTATTCAGGAGACTGGGGCAGTGGGAATCCCACGTTCAAAGCCAGGCTGGGTTGGTTAAGAAAACCCTGTCTCAAAATAAAACTAGAAGGGCTGAGAATTTTAGCTCAGTGTTCTCCAGGTTCACTCCTCAGCTTCACAGAAACAACAACAAAAGTAGCTTTGGAGAAGCAGATGTTTAAAACTTGATGCAGTTCAGTTTAATACCTTTTCCTCTTTGAGTCCTATTTCAGAAATATTTGCTAAACTATTGGTTTCTAAGACTGCATCCTCTCTGTCTTCTGGAGCTCGTATTTCTAGCTTTACGCTTAGGTCTGCATCCAATGAGTGTTTCTTTACAGGATGAGGGGAGGGTCATGGGTCTTTTCTTTCTTTCTTTTTTTCTCTTTCTCAGATAGCTAGCTGTCTCATTGTTCAGCAGTGTTTACTGAAGAGCTGGTTCTGTGCCTGTTTAATGTGCTTGGTGACCATGGGGACATAGGGCCCCAGGTGAGGGTCTCTTTGGGGTGCTTTCTGCCTTGCTGTCCTGCACCTGTGAAGTGTCAAGTCCTAGTCCTCGCTCTCCATCACTTGTGCTCTATGCACAGATCCTAGACTCAAATGGTGCAAACCTCAAACTTTGTTTTCATGTTTGTGTCCTTGTGGTGCTGGGAGAGGAACCTGGGGCCTCACTAATGCTAGGTGTATAGTCTAGCACTGACCTGCGCTCCAGGAGCCTTACAACTGCTTCAGTCTCTTGAGTAGTTAGCTGGAAGTTTGTTATTTTTAACAGTTGTCTTGGCTGTTCTAAGACTGTATTTCCATAGAATTTTAGTGTCAGATTGTCAGTTTCTGCATAAAATCTGCTAAAATTAAAACCATAGATGAAGTGAATAGAATTGATAGGTCAACAATGTGGAATCTTTCAATGCATAGAAACATTGCATTCCTCTACTTGTACAAATATTTAGTTTCTCTCAGCAATGATTTATACATTTTAGTGTACATTATAGACCTCACACATCCGTTTACCTATGTATTTTATACTTTTTGTTTTGTTTTGATTTTTGTTTCATTTGTTTGTTTGGTTTGGTTGGGGGTTTTTTTGGTACCAGGGCTTGAACTCATGACCTAGTGCTTGCCAGGCAGACGCTTATGCCGCTGAGCTAAATTCCTGGCCTATTTCATATTTTTTTAGCAGTCTTAAAAATGATATTTTTGCCTTTTTTTTAACTAAGCTATAAAAAAGCTCATTTTTATGTATTGATGTGGTCTCAAAACCATGCTAAACTTGTTTCTTAGTTCTGGTTGCTGTCTGAAAGCATCTGAGGATTTTCCAGAGACAGCCATGCTGTCTGCTGGTGACCAGGCTTGTATTTGCCGTTCCTTCTGGATGCCTTCACTCACTTCTCATGCCTGTTCACTCTGCTCAGCCTGACAAGGGGCAGGGCTAGTGTCAGAAAACCATGGCCCCGTCTGTCTGGTTGGAAAGTTTCTAATCTTTCTGTTTGTAGTCATGAATGGATGTGGAAATTCACTAAAAGTGATGCAGATCTTTACATAGTTTTTTTAAGTCTGTAGTAACTATGGTGGCATCATTGGTTCTCAGATGTTAAATAAACCTTTCAAGCCTTTTTCCTTTGCAAGTTAGCATTTGAAAACCTTGCTAGCAAACTTTTATTCAGGCTGTGATACAGTGTTCCTCTTATATATATCCAGTCTGTCAGCATCTTTTGACCTTAGGAAAGATACTGTTTTTGTTTTTGTCTTTTTCGTTTTTATTGGTACCAGGGATCGAACTCATGACTTCCTGCTTGCAAGGCAGGTGCTTATGCCGCTGAGCTAAATCCCCAGCCCCAATACTGTTTTCTTATGGTGTCATTTTGTAGCTTGGTATCAGGGTAATACTGGCATGGCAACCCCCCTCTTGCATTTTTGGGAAGACTTGTTTAAAATCTGAGTAGTGTGTCCTTCTTACTTGATAGCCTGTAGTTTTCATTGTAAGGTGTTTCACATTCATCAATACATATACAGAGCTTTAGTTTATCTGTTTCTTCCTGATGGATTTTGTTGTTTTGCCATCCAAGGAATTCATTCATTTCCTGTAAGTTGCTGACTTTTATCTAGTCGGACGACCCTTTAGCACCAGAGATGTGCTACTGAGGAGGCTCGCTTCCCCTCCTAGCAGCACAGTGATGTTGGTATTTTCTCCTTTTCTTCCTACTCAGTCTGTTAAGCAGTTGGCCTTTTTTGGCAGGGTCTCGTTTAGTCTAGGCTGGCCTTGAACTCGTAGCCATCATGTGTCAGCCTCTCAAGTGATGTGCCACCACACCCAGCTAGACAGAATTCTCTTTAAGTTCTGCTTCAGTTACATTTTTACTTCTGAGTTTCATTTGTGTTCCTTTTGATTATTATTTCTTTAAAAATTTCTTTTTTGATTTTTCTTGATTCATAAGTTACTGACTTAAAGGCCTGTTATTTCCCTTCCCAGTGTTTGGGGACTTTTTAGGTCCCTGGTTCTAATTCCAGTGTAGTATTCAGAGTACACACTTGACATGAGACTGGTTTGGGGACCTGGTGTTGTCCCTCTTGGTCCCTCCTGAACATATCCAGAAAGTGCCTCCTGCTGCTGGACACAGGCATGGTGGGTGGTGGCAGTACTGCCTGGGTCCTCTGTCTCCTTGTGGTTTTCCCAGCTATCTTCTGTGTCAGGGATTGAAAGCATGGAACGTGAATCTGTGCTGGTGTCTGTGACTCTGTCTGTTATTCCTTTCAGTATGTTTTTACCTCATGTATCCAGAATACCTTTAAACAAATGTGAGCAAAGAGTGCTGAATACCCAGCTGCTGGCAGCCACACCCTGTGTCCTTGTTCCTGTTTGTTGCTTTATATTATAATGTCTTATTTTGTACAAAATCATTTGATTTTACCTAGCTAATTTTTTCTTCTTAAATTATTTTGTTTTGTTTTGCTTTGTTTTGTTTTTGAGACAGTCTCATTAATTAGTTTATATTTAGACTGACCTTAAACTCACCATAAATCCCAGGCTGGCCTCCAACTTGGTGACCCTCTGCCTCAGCCTCCCGAGTGCTGAGATTATAAGCGTGCACCACATACTGGGCCTCTTCCATAAATACTTAAAATAGTCTGTACTTACTGGATCTTGAATTTCAAAAATAACTTTTGAGAATTATGAATATCATCATAATTATTTCATTTAAAATTGCTTATATGATTATAGGGTTTTTTTGTTTTGCTTTGCTTTATTTTTGAGACAGGATCTTTTATTCATTTTCTAAATGAGGATAAAACAATAAAACCAATCAAAACTGTATAAGAGATATAGTATTTCAAAAGATTATGAAATCAACAATAGTTACCATAATGCCTCTTGATGTCTTCAAAATAGCTACAGATGACTTCATACATAGTAAAAATCAAATGAAACAGGATAGAATAGAAACAATAAAAACAAAACAGTGAATGCAATAAAGGACTTTAAACAAGCCAATAGTAAATTCAAAATTGCTACCATAATGTATCTTGCTAGCCTTGAGATAGCTTCTCCTGCCATCAGATTTGACATAAACAAAAGAGAATAAAACCCAACCCTACAAAACAATGTAAATGATATAGGACCTCAAAACAAGACTATAGGGAATCAACAATGGCTGCAACCCTCAGAAGGAGCTCCCCCCAGATGCCTTACTGCATACTGCTATCCTCTGAACCCATGACCACTGACCCTACCCCTGCATTGTTAGTGAAACACCAAAGCACCACAGGCATCCAGTTGCACTTCACTTCCATAGCTACCATCACAGCCTGTGTTTCTCCAGATAAGTTGATCCCCTAAAGGGATGGGGTGAGGGTGGTACTTGTTTGCAAGTCTGTGAAAACAAAGCCAATGCTGAAGGTTACTATTACTCATGATAAAGAAATTACCATGCATTTAAAGAAGATACTATAAATGTTTGAAGCAACCATATAGACTTTGAACAGAGAAGGCTTAAAAGATACTTAGAAATGTATTTTATCCATACGTAAATGTCACCAGTAGCACACATCACTACACATGTCTTTTACCTCCTAGCTTAGGTTGCTTATAACAGAAGGATAAAACATAATATTCTTTGTTGTGTTCATCGTAGCTTTGTCATGAGCAAATGAAGACATGTGTGTCAGAGACATTCTGCTTGTGACACTGTTTTATCTTGCTGAGGAAGTTTCCTGATGAGTGGTCATTTATGAAAACAGTATTTTAAAAAATATGGCTGGGGCCAGTTGTGATGGCACATACCTATGCCAGCTACTCTAGAGGCTGAGTCGGAAAATGGTGACATTCCAGGCCAGCTTGGGCAGCTTAGCAGGACCGTGTCTTAAATTTCTTAAAATGTAGCTCTGTGCTCCCTGGGTTTAGTCCCCAGTTGGGGATAAGGAATATAGCTAAAATATCTTTAGGTTCTTTTAAAAATACTTTGTAAAAGACAATTTTTGTACTTTTCTACATTTTCTGTAGTCTCTGAGCTAAATATGTTTTCCACCCTGGCTGGATTCGGCAGGTCAAAGATGAGCAGCACCAGTGCAGTCTAGGAACCCTGAGGATCCCGCTCAGTCAGCTACTGGCGAGTGAGGACATGACTGTGAACCAGCGCTTCCACCTCAGCAACTCAGGGCCCAACAGCACCTTGAAGATGAAGATCGCCCTCCGGGTACCATCTGGCTCTCCCCATCCCAGTGCACTGGTCAGGGTGGGATGAGAAGGGAGGCTGGCTTGCTGTTCTAACCCAGTCAGCGTGCCATGTGATGCATAGACATGGGCAGTGGTGTGCGAGCAGACTGTACGGAAGCAAGGTTGTTCAGAGGAGAGGGTTTACTAAGAGCCTACAAGGGTAGAACCTAGATGGACTCAGTCTGCTGAGTGTGCAGTGGAAGTGGTGTCCTTGCACCTTGCTAGGGCTCTAGTTACTGGCACAACCTAAAGGACTGCAGTATCCCCAAGCCACAGACCCTGCTGGCCTTTGCACTAATATTCCTTTTTCCTAATGTCTGATTTTTGCTAATAATGCAAAATGTGAGGAGGCCACAGAATGAAAAGATGTTTATTGCTGCTTTATGTTATGAAGCAGAAAAGGTCCTCAGGCCATCTTCGCTGGCCGAGCATAGACTCTGCTCACAGTCATAACCCCAGATGCACTGCCTGCCACTTCAGCCTGGGGCTCCACAGTGTGGCTGTCCTGCTTGTCCCGCACCACTTTGCTAATGGAGGTAACCCTGCTGGAGAAGAGGGTTTCTAGACATTCTTCCTTGCTCTAGAGTTCCTAGCACACTCTTGTGTAGAGCAAGGGATTTACCCTTCTGTGAGGACTTTGTGATCAGCAGGCTTCTGTGGGGAAAACATTGTCTCACAACTGAGTAGGAATATATGTGAATAGAGGAGCATAGAGCAACACGAAGTAGTGCTCATATTGAGAAGGTGTTGAGTCCTTTAAAAGGATTTAAAATTTTTCTAAACTTTTTTACTATAATATTACTTTAATAGTGCTGGGGATTTAGCTCAGCGGCATAAGCGCCTGCCTTGCAAGCAGGCAGTCGTGAGTTCGATCCTCGGTACCAATAAAAAGGAAAAAGACAAAAACAACACAACAACAATATTATTTTAATAATTAAATAGCTGAATAGATGAGACTTTTTTTAATGTTTGGAGCCCAGTTTTAAAGAAATCCTTGGAGATAATCCAGTGTCAGGGTGTTGCCAGTGTCTGTCGCTGATTTCAGTGCTTGTTTATCTCCACCCCTAGGTGCTCCATCTCCAAAAGCAAGAAAGGCCTGCAGACCACCAACATTCAGCTCAAGTAAAGCGACCCTCCATTTCCAAAGATGGGAGGAAAATGCTTGTCAAGTCTCAAGTGTCTGCATCTTCAGCCGCCAGTAGCAGCAGCACAGCTCCCTCCACACCTGTCATTGGAGCTGCAGATAAGCCTGGTACAGAAGAAAAGGCCCAGCCCCCTGAGGCCAGCCCTCCAGCCCAGCGTGACCTGGGCAGAAGCACCTCCAGCCTCCTGGCCTCGCCAACCCATGCCTCCATCAAAGAACCCACACCTAGCATTGCTTCAGATATATCTCTGCCTATTGCTACCCAGGAGCTGCGACAAAGACTGCGACAGCTCGAGAAGTAATTGCATGCTCTCTGTTTTATTTGTCACAGTCAGGGAGATGACCAACATGCTGCAGGGGTTGCTGTGAACACCAATAGAAGTCATCTTCCACATACTGCAGGGGCTGTTAACACAGAATTTGTGACATAAGCCAGGAGCTGTGGTTAACACAGAATTCAGATCCTACGTGCCACAGGGCTGTTGTTAACCCCATACCCTTGAGGGTTGTTGTTAACATGGGCAGAGTTCATCTCTGACCTTTGAGGGGAAGAAGATACCACTTTAAGTTAGCTAGAAAACCTTCAGGTTGTGTTACTGTTTTTCTGAGTCTTTGGCTTTCAAAATAAAACCCGTCACCAGGTATGGTGGTGTACACAGTTAACTCCAATACTTAGGAAGCTGTGGCAAGAGCATCACTGCAAGTTCAAGGCCAGTCTGAATCACACAGCAAGATCCTGTCTCAAAAACCTAAAAAGGGCTATTATAGTTTTCCATAATAGCCATGGTGTGTTTCCCAGATGTAGCGTGTGCTTTTATTTCTTCTTTTATCCTATTTTTACTCAGCCCAAGCCTGCTCTGCATAGCCAGTTTCTCTCCTACTCTTCACTTCATTTTCTTGAATAAACTTTGCCACTGTTTAAAAAAATTTTAAATAAAGGAAAAAACATCTGGAGCAAGAGGTATCACACATGAAAATGGCAAGAGGCTTAGAGCTGTGAAGCTGCTAAGGACCTCCCCTCATGCCAGGAAGATAGGCACAAAGGGTGACTGTCCACTCTGTGTGTGGGACAAAGAAGGGCTGGCAGAAGGCATGACTCTTCTTGGCAGTAGGAGGACTGGCCCTCTTCTTTCATGTGGATTAGGGTCCCTGTTTGTCTGTCTTCAGGTGTCAGTGATGGTTTCTTAGTTGAGCTCCATGATCCGTAGATTTGTTTATGGTTTCCTTGATAATGGCGTGTAGTGATCACAAGCCACAGATGCTGACACTTGCTGTAGGTAGAGGTAAAATGGTCTTTGAAACTGTTATTCGTGCTTGTTGTTAGAAGAAGTGTGTTGCATGGTGAAGAAGTAAAAATGGAATTGGAGGCTAAGGTGCCTGGTGGTCAGGGGAACACCAGGAGGCAGAGTGGCTGTGCTCGTGTCTGTGAGGCCCTCTCTGATTGTGTACAGTTTTTCTTTAGTTCTTTTTCATATCCAAGTTTTTGGGGAAATTTGGTCTCTTCTCTTGAAAGGACACAGTTTTCAGTGTGAAACCACCTTTTGTCAGGAGCACAGTTTGGGGATTAGCTGAACTACCGTGGGGGATACTGAGCATAGTCACTGTCCCAGAACCTGCTTCCCAAGCAGAGGGTAGAGGGAGGGTGCACTGGGGCTCGTAGAGGGGGACAGGGCTGATGATGGCCAATGTGGACACTGCTGAGCTAAGGCCACAGAGCAGTGTCCAGGGAGAGCCCTGTCTCCTTTTACTTTGGGTTCTTACTAAAGAACTCTTAGTTTTGAAGAATTAAGTTGTATTGAATCCTTGAGTGAAATTCAACTTCAGTTCTACTTAGACGAGAGTTTCACATTATGGTTAAGTCCGTGGGTAATCTCACTCCTTTCTGCCGAGATTGGTGTGTGTTACCCCGCTGTGTGTGTTGTGTCCAGACTTGCCTGGTGACTTCTGCTCTGTCTGTCTCCCACAGTGGCACGATGCTCGGGCAGTCCCCACTGGGGCAGGTCCAGCTCACCATCCGGCACAGCTCGCAGAGAAACAAGCTCATCGTGGTGGTGCACTCCTGCAGGTGAGCAGGCGCAGCCTCTGCCTCAGAATTGCAGCGCATCGCTCAGTGCTGCCCTGATCCCAGGCCAGCCAGGCTTCCCATGTGGGGCTTCCCTGGAAGAGCAGAGCAGCTCGGCCTGCTTCCCACAGCGCTGGGAGCCCGTGTGCTGCTCCTTCACACCAAGTCTCTCCAACTGCCGTGCAGAGCAGACGGATAAAAGTAGTGTACTTCAGGGTGTCACATGTTTCCCCTTTGTGTCTGGAGAGTTAGTTTTATCATGTGGCAGTTTTAGGGGAAGAATCTCTGCCTTCTTGACTTACATTAGAATATTATATCTTCTCAAAAGAAGTAGCAAAGTAAAGAACATTTTTGCTCTTATTAATAATACTTTTTTTTTTTTGAGACAAGGTCACTCTGAGTAGACTAGGTTTGCCATGAAATCACAACAGTCCTGCCTCAGCCTCCCAATTTCTGGGATTACAGACATGTGCCACCATGCCCAGCATTAATAATGCATTTACTAGGTTATTTTTAGTACACAGAAATGTATGGAAAAACAGTTTGAAGTTGTTAAAGAAAATAAAGGTTTCCCCAGTCTATGGTGAAGCTGGAAAACCTAACATGAGCTATTCAAATTTTTTTTTTTTTTTAAGGGCAGCAGTGTTAAAGAGAGTTCTGAGAAAATCACCACTCTTTCCGCCCTCTCACAAACACATGCGTCTCCCTGTGGTACCCACAGACACATGCGTGTGTACCATATTCACGTCTTGTGTTAGAGTCTAGATTCTGGCCTTTCTCTACTACCCTTTAAAATCTTATGTTTTCCACTATAAAATCTTAGTAAATAACTTACTCCTTTTTTGTTCTTATTACTTCATGAACATTTCTATTGTATTCCTAACCATGTTATAATGCTCCCTTGAATTGTTATAATGTAATTTAACCAAGTGTATAATATACTTTATTGTTGGATGTTTAGATTATCTGTATTAATGTAATATGGTGTTGAACTTTTTTTGAAGTATTTTTGTGATTTAATTTCCAGAAGTAGGAAAATTTGAATCAAGGCTGGGGATTTAGCTCAGCGTCATAAGCACCTGCCTTGCAAGCAGGCAGTCATGAGTTCGATCCCTGATACCGATAAAAAGAAAAAAGACAAAAAAAAAAAAGAAAGAAAATTTAGATCAAAAGGTTTTGGGGTTTATTATATTTATTATACTAGTCTTTCAACAAAGAGCATAGGAGTTAATATAGATACTGCAAGGGTATGAGTATACGTTTTCTCTCACAGTCACAAGAAACAATTTAGCTACTCTGGTATGCTGATTTGTAATTTTAGTCTTAAGTGGGATGACTGTGTTGCTTTAATTTATATTTAATTTATATAAATTTAATTTATATTAATTTAATTTATATTAAGGATGATGGTATGGGCTGTGTTCCTTCTCTGTTTTAGCAATTGCTTAATATATCATATAAATATTTAGAGTTTATTAAAAACCTGTAGGATCCAGGCATGGTAGTGCACGCCATAATCACAGCACTTGGCAGGCTGAGGTAGGAAGATATCACACCACAAGGTGAAGGTTACCAGGGCTACATAGTGAATTGAAGCCCAACCTGAACTACACAGTGAGACCCTGACTTAAAAAAAAAAAAAGATAAAACTCTAGAAAACATAGGAAAATAAAATTAGTAAACATAAGAGTTCAATTTAGTGATCGTGGCACTCCTCGTGTGTTCTTGCCTTTGAGACGATTGCTCTGAGAGGCCTTGAAGAGTGCCCAGCAACACATACCCACCAGGCCTGCTGGTCACCAGTCAGTGCAGAGCCTAGAGCGCCCGTAGGAATGAGTCCTGGACCTTGTCTGGCACGTTCCTGGCGTCCTAGGAAGAGAGCAGGGCAGGCTTGGTGGAGGTAGGTCTTGTGCAGAATGGGTGAAGGTGAAGAGCCAGGCAGGCATCAAAGGAACAGGATGCCACACAGGGGGATAGTTTGCTTGGCCAAAGCCTGACTCCTGTTTCATCATTGGAAGAAACCAGTTGAAATATGATGGAAAGACATGTTAGAAGAAGAGCAAGGACCTGGACTCTCCCCTGAACTCTGGACTCTGGAAATGGAGTCAGATCGTCTCTTGGGAGAAAGACCAATAGGCAGAAATGGGGAAGACCTCGCAGAACTTGATATCAGTTATTCCTCACTGGCCCTTGTCACCTCCAAGCATACACACACAAACACACAGATGCTAGGAACCCAGGGACTCGTGTATGACAGACAAGAGCTCCACCACTGAGCTAGACCCCAGCTCTGTTGTTGCTTCCTTGTGTGCAGACATATTTGAAATCAAAACTTAATACAGCAAATTTGAACGTGACAGTGCTCTTATTTTCCTAAATTCTGATACCTAGTCTTTTCTGGTCTGTGTTACAAGAAATCTCATCGCTTTCTCAGAAGACGGTTCTGATCCATATGTCCGCATGTATTTATTACCAGACAAGAGGAGGTCAGGAAGGAGGAAAACTCACGTGTCAAAGAAGACATTAAACCCTGTGTTCGACCAGAGGTATAACAGATACTCCCTGGCTGAGAAGCCTGTCCTCAGAGGCCAGCACAGTACCACTGCTCTGCCAAGAAGTACAGATGGCAGAGCCACAGCCAGTGTTGGGCATGTATACTTACTAAAATAAGTAACCATTTTGAACTTCTCTCGAGAATGCTGAACATAATAAATCCAGGTTACAAACTGTGGAGGGGATCTGTTTCACAGTAACATAATATCTCAAATACAGACCCATAGTGTATCAAATATAGCTTGTCAAAAATGACTATATTTTACACAAATAATCAGTGCAAAAGTTATGATACTACATTTTGTAACTCTCTTGAGTGTTCCAGCTTGGTAGAGGCTGGAACTTCTGGTAGGGTCAGTGTGATGACTCCAACCATCCTCAGACCATGGTCTGTTCAGATGTTGTCCTCAGGCTGAGGGTTTAGTTCAGTGGCACAGGGGCATGCTTGGCAAGCACGAGGTCATAAGTTCAATCCCCAATACCAAAAAAAAAGATGTGTACGTTGTTTTCTTTGACAGCATTTTGCAAACAGTAAATGAGAGTTTGTTGGTTCAGCTCCGTCTTGCCTATAAAGGTGCTGCCCACTGTGTTTCCACTCCAGTAACTTTAAGAGCAAACCTCTACCCACATAAAAGGAGGACCTGACTTTATAAGGAAAAACACTGAATCTTTGAAATTATCTTATCGGTAGAAATGCCATTCTTAGTTAAAAGAAGACACAATACAGTATTACAGAGAAAGTTCCTTGGTTCCTTTCAGCTTTGATTTCAACGTATCACTCCCTGAGGTGCAGAGGAGAACGCTGGATGTAGCTGTGAAGAACAGTGGCGGCTTCCTGTCCAAAGATAAAGGGCTTCTTGGCAAAGTAAGCATGAAGAAATCCTCACACCCTACTGCACCTTGCACTCCCTACATTAGCAGAAAGGGTGGGCTTACTCTGCGGTTAGGGCTTGTTAGTAACATAATGTGCCAAGACTTGGTGGTTCACTCTGGAGATATTGTAAGTTGCTCTTGTTGATTTTTATGTATTCATATTATTGGCTTATTCATTATTCTGATGCTAGGAACCTTGAGTTGGAAAAAGATTGATTTTCAAGCTTTTACATTTTCATTCAATATTACACTGTAAAAACACTAAGGAAAAACGTTTCACACAGCCCACTTCCCCCACTGGTTCTACTGCTCTCTCCAGCAGGTGCTCAGCTTGCCTCTGTCCATGTTCACCACTACCTTTTCAGTAAGATTCTGTCTTCCTTAGCCATGCAGATCAGTGTCCAGCCAGGGAGAAGAGTGCTGCACAGTAGCCCTGCGTGTGTTGTCAGCAGCACCAGGCGCAAACCATCTCAGCAGCACTGCCCTTGACAGTGTCAGGCCACACCCAGGGACTGTATCCACTGATGTTCATGATGACTTAATTTTATAACTGCTGAAGACAGGCAGAATCTCTTGATTACAGTCAAGAGATGCTTGGTTACCAGCATTTCCCCCGCTGCTACCACAAATGAATCCTAAAGGTAGAAAAGAATAAACACTGAGTCTCAGAGAAAAGGGAACTGCATATTGCTAGTTAAGACAGGACATGGTTAGGCGGGCAGCAGACCTAAAAGAAGCTCCTCAGCCCATTGCAGTGAGCCCCTCTCTTTCCTCAGGTGCTGGTGGCTCTGGCATCTGAAGAGCTCGCCAAGGGCTGGACCCAGTGGTGAGTATGTCTGTACTCCAGGGAGTGGCAGGGCTAGGTGCTGGGTGTGTGTCCAACACCGTGCTATAAACCTGACCCTTCTGCTGTGTTCTCTGTGCTTCTCAGGTATGATCTCACGGAGGATGGGACGAGACCCCAAGTGGTGACGTAGCCATGCTGGATGTGAAGTGCCCTCCTCAGTGACCACCCTACCCACCTCCACTCGCAGATGTACCAATGTTATTTTTATAATTTTGTGTATTTAGCTATATATATATAAAATATATACCTTAATTTTATAAAAACTCTTGGCATTTTAGGCAAATTTGGCCAATATTATTGTTGGCTTCTTATGTTGGATTTCCTCCAGGCTTGGCCAGCTTCTGTGTGTGCAGCACCGTGTGGTCAGCTGTGCCCATTGGGAAGCCTATGTCTGGACTCTGCATTGCTGCCTTGTTTGTACAGCACTGTGGTACACCGTGCCATGTAAATAGACTATTTTTTTAATAATCTTTACATGCTAATTTGGACTCAGAAGAAAGTGGATCAAAGAAATACATATTTTCTTCTTAAACTTAATTGAATTCTTACGGCAAATACTCATTTTCGTCTTTACAGCAAAACATTCTCAGTGACCTATTTTGTGATGTTTCTTTTTAAAAGGAAAAAGTAGAAAGATCAGTAGACATTAGTATATTTCTGCCTATTAGGAAAAGTATTCAAACTTAACGTTTTCATAAATGTAAAGGTGTATTATTGGGAAGTCAAGTAAAGGGCTTACGAGGAAACACGCTGTGTGACTGAGTGGTATAAAACATCCAGGGGATTGTCATGGTTCACAAGTCATGTGTACTGATTGGAGTTTCTTACCTAAAAAGAAGTATCTTCAGCTTATTTCACTGATTGTGGTAACAGTCAGTGAAGTAGTAAGAGAGGCACCTGTGATGCCTCCAAAGGCAGGGACAGCCCCTCCACCTTCTCAGGCAAGCATTTGGCACAGCAGGTCCAGCCTGCTTGGTTACCAGCATTTCCCCCGCTGCTAACAGCAAAGGTGCACGGTGTCATTTTAGGTGGAGCATCCTGACATTGAGGTGACTAGGGAGAATATTGCACTAAAAACTGGTAGCTGTTCACTTGCCAGGTGTCATGTCCTATACATAAAACCACACACTGCTGCTGTGGCAGGCCTGCTGGGACCTGGCTCTGTCCTGCTGCCTGTGGTGCCTGCTGGGCCTTCCTGTATTGCTTCATTTTATGCCATGACTGACCTTATTATCAGTGTATTGTTCTACAGTTTTCATTTTGATGTCGTCTTTATAGGTTATTAAACGCATGTGTTATATATTTAAGTGTCCCCAAAACTGCGTATGAGGTGAGGCTGTGTAGCAGTATTATAAGCTGTGCATCTCTATAAGCAAAGTATGCACAGAAAGAGGCTTCATTATGCTTTTTAAGCTGCAGTAAGAGAAAGGGCTTCCTTAGCTGTGAGAACTTATATGACGTGTACACACATACAGGGAAATACAGCTTTGTAACTAAAGCTGAACAACATTGGGTAGCTCCTGTGACCAAACATACCAAAGTGCCTGTGGCGAGCACTGATTGTTACTTCCACACACTCCCTCCATCAAGCATATTACATTTCATTCAAAATTGTTTTATGTGCCATGGATTTATTTATAGTGATGTCTGTAGCTTCATAACACATTGTACATAGTCATAAGGACCAGTACAATCTCACTGTCCCCTTTTACGGACATTTTTCTCTGAGGCCTCTCTAGAAGTCATTTCCAGTAAGTATACAAGATTGTTTATTCTGCGAGTAGTTTATGAGTGTGCCATGCACATGCACATGTGAACATATATGCACATAAAGTATTTACCTATGGCATTTTAGTAGCAGAAGGATAGTATTTTATCAAATTCAGGTGTTCATCCTAATAGCTTTTTATAAATTTTTTTTTTAAAAATAGGTATATTGAAAGGTTTCTCTCAAAGTCTATAAAAAAGAACACTCATTGAAATTTTATGATGCCAATAATTTTTCCAATGCCCTAAATATCTAGGGTTGGCACCCAGATGGCCTGGTCTGCTCAGTGCATACTTCATGTAGTGCAGTACTTTATAAGTTAAACAGTTAGGCATGGTGGACATAGTTCAGGATGCAGAGCCCACAGAAAGCAGCTGAGCACATAGTAAACTAACCTGGGGTGCAGTGAGACCAGCAGATTGTCCCCAAGGATCTGGGCACAAGGTTCCTACCCGCAAACGCTCAATCCTCTCTAAAAGAGCCGGCCAGCCCTGTGTGAACTATGTGGGGAAGACTGCATATTACCTTCAGGGTGTGCTCAGCATTTCAGGGGCCTGGTGAAGAAGACGTCTTGTTTTGTCCTCAGAATGTGGCTTTTAGTTTTAATAATGGCTTGTCTAGGAAAAGGGAACTTACATTTCTACTTTGAGCCAAAACCAATGGAGAGAAAATTACCTTAGATGAATCTGAAGTGAAGCTGTTGTTGGCTTGCACATGCGGTTTGTTTACCCTGTGCCTTACAGTCCAAAGGTGGTGGTTTTGAATTCCAGACTGAACAGATGCAGCCTGGGGGCTGCATTCTGGTCTGGATGCTAGTCCTGTCAAGATCCTGGGCAGACGTGGACAGTGTGTGTTTGGTGTCTGTGCTGTGTGCACTGCAGTGCAAGCCGCTTGCCCACTGCAAAGCGGGGAAGCAGAGCATTTCAGCCCCAGAATGTTCTTTTGCTTAACTAACTTTACATGGAAGTGCATGTATTTATTCAATAAAGATTTTACATTGGTTAACTTGTGATGTGTTTTTCTTTCTTACTTTTGACATGAAATTTTCCATGTGGACCAAATAGTTTTGGAAAGTTGTTATCGTTTGCCATGTGTATTCACTGCCTGAAATGCATTTGTTTGCAGTGCATTTTCTGTCTTTGCTCATTTCCATCTTAGTTTGACTCTCCTGCTTAGCGTAGCAGACTTTGGGTTTTGAAAGCAGCTCTTCTGCAAGGTTGGGATGAGCAAGCAGTAAAGCTCTGGTGTATCAGAGCCATGATCAACCCTGCAGTGGAGGCCGGCATCTGAAGACTGGAGCCCACAGAGGGGCGTGAGTGCCAGGGTGTTACACTGCTGATACCCACCACACCCGCGAGTGGACACTTCACAGTCTTTCCTTAGCAGCTCAGCACGTGAAACCGCTTCTTCACTCCTACTCAAACCCAGACTTCCTTGACCTTTATGCCTTACTCTTTCCTCTCTGTTTTGTGATTCTGGGGCTGGAACCCAGGGCCTGCACATGCTAGACAAATGCTCTACACACACTTCACCCCAGTCCTTTTTAAATATTCTTATGTGTTACTAGCCATGTCTCAAGAACATCTTTTATTGGCTTTTTTTGTATCCAGACTAACTACTGGAGCAGTACAATGTTTCTGTTCCGTTTTATTCTGGTTCTTCATGCCATTGGTATGCTATGAACTTGCTCTCCTGTACACACCCTCCTCTGAGCTCCCAGTCTCTGTGACACCTGGCTATCTGGGTATGTCGGTGTCCATGCTCTGTCGTTTGCTGTCTTTTGAAGTGCTAGAGCTAGAGACCTTGCTGCCACTCAGTCCCTGCACAGATAATGAGTAAGTGGACACCCACTGAGAGGGCCTCCACTTCCACCACCGTCTGTGGAGCCTGAACCATGATCCAGCCTCTCAACACCGTTAAGCCCAGTTTTGGCATTTCGCCCTGCTCTTTTATTCCTGTTTTCCACCAGCAGCCAGGGGGGTCTAACCTGTCACTCTGCTGTTGTCCACTTCTCTTAGAATAAAGACCAGCAGCACACTACAGCTCACAAGGCCCTGAGACTGGCCAAGCAGATCTCTTTATTAGTCCCTTACTGTCAGACTCCCCACATGGCCATTGCAGCAGCTTCACAACCCCACCTGTCCTGCCCTCCCTGCACTTTCCACCATGAAGTCACCCTCTCCTGAGTTCTACCAGCTTCATTCTCGAGTGGTCTTCCTGCAGGTACCTTATCATTATGCTTGCTTTACACAGTTACAAGTTAGAATTTTCCTGCCTGGATTGTGAACACCCAGGGACAGAGATTCTGTATTGTTTAAATGTTTACCTGATGATCAAAAAGAAAAAAGTTTTCCTGATGGTTGTTCCTGATGTGTGATTGTCAAAGCAAACTGACTATACGGTGCATAAAGTTTAAGCGACCAAGCTGGGGAAAGAGACTTACACCTATGATCCCAGCATTTGGGAGGCTGAAGCAGGAGGATAGTGAGTTCAAGCCTTGCCTCAGCTGCCTAACAACACCCTGTTTCAGAAGTAAATAAAGATTAAAAGTTTGAGAGAGGGGACTGGGGGCTTAGCTCAGCAGCATAAGCACCTGCCTTGCAAGCAGGTGGTCGTGAGTTCAATCCCCGGTACCGGTAAAAAAAAAAAGTTTGAGAGTATACATCCATTAGTTTTAATAAGTTTCCACCTAAGGAAGGCTAAATACCTATGTCAAGTCCCAGTACAGACTAAAGAATAGTGTCCTGAAAATTATAATAAATAATACTATTGAAACAGCACAACTATCTGTAGCAAAATTATGAGAAAAAAAATGGAGTATAAAAGTGGAACATAGGCCAAGAAGTCTGCATGTATTTGGTGGTGTTCTGGAACTCCTGGGTGATTGAATATGAAAAGAAATAGATTATAAATTTTACTGGCAGGGAAAATCATTTTCTGATATAAGGTGGTCTACCTGAAGAAAACAAAATCTGAAAACTTGTATTGAACAAGTGTTTAATAAGGCAACTAGACAGCACTAGATAAATCCCTGTGTCATGTCTGCTATTTGAAAATAGGAGCCAAGTGACGGTAGTGTTTCTGGGAATAGTAATGGGCACTACTACGGACTAGGAAGAAGAACAAAGCATTCTTGCAAGGATAGGATGAGACAGGGAGTTCAGGAGGAAACCAAAATTTTCCCATTGTGTCCAGCAGGTCTCGCCTTCCTCTTCTGAGCTCCAGAGCAGTCACTAGCCCGAGGGCTTGAGCTGTGACCAGGGAAGAATGGAGAGTTTCCATGTTGCAGTCTGGCTCAAAAGGCAGGAAAAGGACAAGGACAAGCTTAGCATCCCCGAGACTCAGTTTATAATTTGTGGCTCCCAACATATAACCATTGCCAGTCACTCTCCTTTCTCCCTCCCTCCTTCCTGGTCATGCCTATCTGCTAGTTGCTCCAAAGCACGTTTGGGATCCCAAACCCTGTGGCCTTCAAAGAAAGCTCCTCTCACTTAGCATGTTGGACTTATCTTCATAAGTCCTTGCTTTTACAACTATTTCCTTGAATAGTCTATTGTCTGTTGATGGACTTTTGGTTGTCTATACTTTTGGTCACACTGATGAGCGTGGTCTTTCCTGTCTTGGCTGGTTGGGACTATGCTGAGCAGATCCCTCATCTCAAACTCCAGCCCATAGGGATGGGAGTGTCTCCAGGGACATAGGGATGTCAGCAGTGCCTATACTCCCACTACTCATTTCTGCTTCCTTTTTTTTTTTTTTTTTCTTTTTTTCTAGAGAACTCAGGAATGAAGAGGGATTCAGCCCCATAGCCTAAGCACTCTAGTCACTACCCAGCTGTCAGGGGATCCCAGGTCTGGAATGCCCTTTACCTCTGCATTGCCAGGCCCTTGAGTCAGGAGGCCTGCAGAGCCACTGGCCCATCAAGATATTACACACTTGTAATCCTAGCACTCAAGAGACTAAGCAGGAAGATTACTGTGAGTTCGAGGCCAGTCTGGGCTAGAAAGTAAGTTTAAGGCCAACCTGAACTGCATAGTGAAACCTTGCCTCAAAAAGACAAAAAAGGAAAGAAAAATGGGCCTCAGGCTTATCATTACTTCTTTTTTCTTAAAATTTTGTTAGTTCCTACTTATGGTACTAAGAATAATTGGTTTTGTTCTGGCACATTGCTACATGCATATAGCATACTTTGGTTATTTTCTTTTTGGTGGGGGGGAAGAGTAGAATTTTTTTTTTTTTTTTGTATTTTTACCGGTACCAGGGATCGAACTCACGATCATATGCTCACTCAGGTGCTTATGCTGCTGAGCTAAATCCCCAGCCCCGGAATATACTTATTGAGAGAAAGAAAGCTTCTGTCTGAAGTGAGACAGAAGTGGTCCTAAGCGGGTTACCAAGGACTCTGTCTTTTCCAGGGACTTAAAAAACCATGACTTCAAGGTGGGGGAAGACTGGGAACTCACAAGCAGATGGGCATAAGGTGGGGCATAACCAGTTAGCCAATAAGATCAATAGTTCAGGTAAAATTGGTTACATTAGGGACAAATGGGGAAGGGAATCACATAGAAAGCAGGCATTCTTACAGAGCTGTGACTCTCCTGGGGGATTCTACCTATTTTGGGTATCAATCCCAGGATATTGGTGTATTTGTATGGTCTTTTGTCTTGAGGCATGGTCCATAGCAGGAGGCATCAGCTTCCCCAGCAGCTGCCGGGTGTTTGCACTGGCTCTATTGAGGACCTTAGCCCTATCTCACTGCCTATAATATTTTTAACTAGCTCAGCTGCCTGCAACAATCCCCCACTCTGAGGCAGTAACCAGAACTGCCATGAGGGGATAACGAGCAATGACCGATCACAAACTTCTTCAGGCTAAACAGGGTCACAATTTTTGAATGACAGTCCGAGGTACTTCTGCAGAAATCCTTTCTAGAGGCCCTCAATAAACACCAGGCATTTTCATCTTAGATATGTGCACAACTTTTAAGTCTGGAGGAGACAAAGCCAAAGAAATAGTTAAGCATGTATGGGCCAAAGAGCAAAATCAGTAAGACAATTAGGAGTATAGTTAACAAATTTCTACAAGAGGAACTAGAATTAATTCTGATAAGAATAAAGTCCAGGAAATTTAAGAATCTGACATGTCATTGATTTGTTATCTAATATCTTGAATAGCTACTGAGACATTAGCAGAAGAATCAAGAATGTATACACAGCATTCACTTTTTACAATTGCACAAGTGACCCTCTGTGCTGCTGCTGTTAGAACATCTAATGCCATCCAATTTTGAAGGCTAGCCTGTAATAAAAGATCATCTATCTCCTTATATTTTATAGGCGATTCATTGACTGTTAGGTAATTTCTTTCTTCTCATATGGCTGCATGAGCATGTAATACTAGGAGAGCATACATAGAGTCAGTATAAATATTGACCTTTTGTCCCTTCCTAAGTTGTAAGGCTCTGGTCAAAGCTATGAGCTCTGCTAGCTGAACACTAGTTCCAGGTGCAAGTGAGGTGCTTTTAAGAGTATGGTGTAAAGTTACCATTGCATATCCTGTCTTTTTTTTACTTTCCACTGTCATCACAGAAGAGGGTTAAATCTGTGTCAGTAAGCAGGGTGTCTAAAAAGTCTTTTCTGGCGGCATCTGTATGAAGAATTACCTGTTCACAGTCGTGTATATCAATCTCAATTTTTTCCTCCTGTTCTAGCAAGAAGGTGGAGGGATTTAATAAGAGTATGACTTTATTTGAATGGCTGGCCCTTCTATTAGTAGAGTCTGGTATTTAAGAAATCAGTTGCCAGACAGCCAGACTTCCCTTAGAAGAAAGGAGTCCTGCCACATGGTGAAGTGTACATACAATGAAATCCTTGCCTAAAGTCAATTTGGCTGCCTCTGGCAATATGAGAGCCATGGCTGCCATGGCTCTGAAGCAAGCAGGCCATCCCTTAGCTATAATATCTAATTCATGGCTCAGGTACCCTATAGGCTGTTGAGCAGGTCCT